ACGATCAAGTTGAGCAAGGCATAATCTTATTAATATTACTCCAACTTGTTTCTGCCGACTGCTTCATGTATGAGTGTATTCAATTGGATAGCGTTCAACAAGAAGCAAAACAGGTTGACTGTCGATCGTTTTTATTTAAGTGGTTAAAAACATTTTTTTATTCCGAACTCAACCGTTTATAACAACTAAGCATTATAATATACAGACTTTAGGAAATTGACATGTATTGGTATCATGGATAAAGCTATTTAAAACAAAAGAAATGGGCTTTTTACGATTCAAAAGGCATACAAATACTCTTCGGACATCATTTAATCATAAATAGCTTTTGCCAGCCTTCATGATTATTTGCATTTAAACTCACAGTTTCTAGAAATAATATCTCTAACTCTCTGTGTGCCAGGAGATGGTATTTACAGCGTTGTTACTGCTAGGAGGGCTAATAGTCACCTCAACGTCAACAAGATCATGTAAGTAAACTTGTGATCTTATATTGTACCGAGCTGGTAGAGCATACTCTGTACTATATGGTTACTTACTGGTTACTTACTTAGCGGTTACTTACTTACTGGTTACTTACTTAGCGGTTACTTACTTACTGGTTACTTACTTACTGGTTACTTACTTACTGGTTACTTACTTACTGGTTACTTACTTACTGGTTACTTACTTACTGGTTACTTACTAATGGTTACTTACTAATGGTTACTTACTTCTTTACTTACTGGTTACTTACTTACTGGTTACTTACTTACTGGTTACTTACTAATGGTTACTTACTAATGGTTACTTACTTCTTTACTTACTGGTTACTTACTTACTGGTTATTTACTTACTGGTTACTTACTAATGGTTACTTACTAATGGTTACTTACTTCTTTACTTACTGGTTACTTACTTACTGGTTACTTACTTACTGGTTACTTACAGGTTACTTACTAATGGTTACTTACTTACTGGTTACTAACTAATGGTTACTTACTAATGGTTACTTACCGACTTACTTGGGAGAGTTTATTTTTTACATAGCATTTTCTATACTAATAAATAATATTCTATACTTACAAAATTATACAGGGAACCAATTTATCAACTGTGAAGCTGAAGAATGTGAAACCGATCTTAGAGAACTTCGATTCAATAAGGGACGTATCGAGATTAAATATAAGAGGAATCCCGGCCCAACATCAGTTCAGACGATCTCTTTTTTAAATGATTTGGGTTAGATTTTTATTAGACTTATCATATAGGAGCTATTTATCTTACAATTATCTTTATTATAGAGTTAAAGTGTGGTATTATTTTCGTCTACGAATAAGCAGATGTTTCAGCAACAAAAACGTTCACATATCACCATATTAATTTTACAGGAACTCTGGAGGATTTTTTCATATTTTATGACTATCCTAGCCAACAAATAAGATTTGGTCACGACTTCACTAACTGCTTCATGACACGAAATATACTAACGGAGAGTATAGTGACTGGAGATACAGCGCACGTCGTAATAGACGTTTCGGATCAATTCCTATGGCTGACTATCAATGGTAAGACTACCATTCGGGATGAAATATTGACAATTTTTCTGTTCTGTAGAATGTAAAATAAGAAACCGATTATTATTAAGTTAATTCTCTCCGGATTAATGACCAGTAATGCAAGATGCTTCTCCAGGGTAAACATCCAATGCTTCCCCAGGTAAACATCTAATGCTTCCTCAGGTAAACATCCAATGCTTCCCCAGGTAAACATCTAATGCTTCCTCAGGTAAACATCCAATGCTTCTCCAGGTAAACATCCAATGCTTCCCCAGGTAAACATCCAATGCTTCTCCAAGGTAAACATCCAATGCTTCCCCAGGTAAACATCCAATGCTTCCCCAGGTAAACATCTAATGCTTCCCCAGGTAAACATCCAATGCTTCCCCAGGTAAACATCCAATGCTTCTCCAAGGTAAACATCCAATGCTTCCCCAGGTAAACATCCAATGCTTCCCCAGGTAAACATCTAATGCTTCCCCAGGTAAACATCCAATGCTTCCCCAGGTAAACATCTAATGCTTCCCCAGGTAAACATCTAATGCTTCCTCAGGTAAACATCCAATGCTTCCCAGGTAAACATCCAATGCTTCCCCAGGTAAACATCCAATGCTTCCCCAGGTAAACATCTAATGCTTCCTCAGGTAAACATCCAATGCTTCTCCAGGTAAACATCCAATGCTTCCCCAGGTAAACATCCAATGCTTCTCCAGGTAAACATCCAATGCTTCTCCAGGTAAACATCCAATGCTTCCCCAGGTAAACATCCGATGCTTCTCCAGGTAAACATCCAATGCTTCTCCAGGTAAACATCCAATACTTCCCCAGGTAAACATCCAATGCTTCTCCAGGTAAACATCCAATGCTTCTCCAGGTAAACATCCAATGCTTCTCCAGGTAAACATCCAATGCTTCTCCAGGTAAACATCCAATGCTTCCCCAGGTAAACATCCAATGCTTCTCCAGGTAAACATCCAATGCTTCTCCAGGTAAACATCCAATGCTTCCCCAGGTAAACATCCAATGCTTCTCCAGGTAAACATCCAATGCTTCCCCAGGTAAACATCCAATGCTTCTCCAGGTAAATGCTTCTCCAGGTAAACATCCAATGCTTCCCCAGGTAAACATCCAATGCTTCTCCAGGTAAACATCCAATGCTTCCCCAGGTAAACATCCAATGCTTCTCCAGGTAAATGCTTCCCCAGGTAAACATCCAATGCTTCTCCAGGTAAACATCCAATGCTTCCCCAGGTAAACATCCAATGCTTCCCCAGGTAAACATCCAATGCTTCCCCAGGTAAACATCCAATGCTTCTCCAAGGTAAACATCCAATGCTTCCCCAGGTAAACATCCAATGCTTCCCCAGGTAAACATCTAATGCTTCCCCAGGTAAACATCCAATGCTTCCCCAGGTAAACATCTAATGCTTCCCCAGGTAGACATCTAATGCTTCCTCAGGTAAACATCCAATGCTTCCCCAGGTAAACATCCAATGCTTCCCCAGGTAAACATCCAATGCTTCCCCAGGTAAACATCTAATGCTTCCTCAGGTAAACATCCAATGCTTCTCCAGGTAAACATCCAATGCTTCCCCAGGTAAACATCCAATGCTTCTCCAGGTAAACATCCAATGCTTCTCCAGGTAAACATCCAATGCTTCCCCAGGTAAACATCCAATGCTTCTCCAGGTAAACATCCAATGCTTCTCCAGGTAAACATCCAATGCTTCCCCAGGTAAACATCCAATGCTTCTCCAGGTAAACATCCAATGCTTCTCCAGGTAAACATCCAATGCTTCTCCAGGTAAACATCCAATGCTTCTCCAGGTAAACATCCAATGCTTCCCCAGGTAAACATCCAATGCTTCTCCAGGTAAACATCCAATGCTTCTCCAGGTAAACATCCAATGCTTCCCCAGGTAAACATCCAATGCTTCCCCAGGTAAACATCCAATGCTTCTCCAAGGTAAACATCCAATGCTTCCCCAGGTAAACATCCAATGCTTCCCCAGGTAAACATCTAATGCTTCCCCAGGTAAACATCCAATGCTTCCCCAGGTAAACATCTAATGCTTCCCCAGGTAAACATCTAATGCTTCCTCAGGTAAACATCCAATGCTTCCCCAGGTAAACATCCAATGCTTCCCCAGGTAAACATCCAATGCTTCCCCAGGTAAACATCTAATGCTTCCTCAGGTAAACATCCAATGCTTCTCCAGGTAAACATCCAATGCTTCCCCAGGTAAACATCCAATGCTTCTCCAGGTAAACATCCAATGCTTCTCCAGGTAAACATCCAATGCTTCCTCAGGTAAACATCCAATGCTTCTCCAGGGTAACATCCAATGCTTCTCCAGGTAAACATCCAATGCTTCCCCAGGTAAACATCCAATGCTTCTCCAGGTAAACATCCAATGCTTCTCCAGGTAAACATCTAATGCTTCCTCAGGTAAACATCCAATGCTTCTCCAGGTAAACATCCAATGCTTCCCCAGGTAAACATCTAATGCTTCCTCAGGTAAACATCCAATGCTTCCCCAGGTAAACATCTAATGCTTCCCCAGGTAAACATCCAATGCTTCCCCAGGTAAACATCCAATGCTTCCCCAGGTAAACATCTAATGCTTCCTCAGGTAAACATCCAATGCTTCCCCAGGTAAACATCTAATGCTTCCTCAGGTAAACATCCAATGCTTCCCCAGGTAAACATCCAATGCTTGAAGACTACTACCCACATGTGAGAAGTATGGAGTGGTCTGAACCCTGTTTTCATCAGACAAGAGATGTTTACAAGATGAGGTTTCACTCTTCTGTCGCTCTGGAGGGAGCAGTACTTTTCTTCGTGCCACAGATAGGTATGTTTCATTCAGTACCAGCATCATTACTTTTTATATCTTTTTAAAGACATGTATGATTTGATTGGCCAATGTTTGAAGGATAAAAACATCCCCCCAGGCCCCCCCCCCCCCTCCCTCCCTCTCCCCCCTCCCTCTCCCCCCTTTACCAGCTCAGTTTAACCAAGATATCAACACATAAATCTAGTAAGATTAGTTTACCTCAATTTATTAGCATTTCAAACATATTTTATCTTATTTTAACTGTTATTTTATCATGAACGAAACTATCGACTTTATGAAAATTGTGCATTATTCATGCCTAAAATAATTAGCTATCAAAGTAGAACAATTCTAATGAATTTTATACAATTCGCCATGATCTGACATTTTTCCTGTTTAATTTGGTTGGCATTATTAGGTATGATGCTAAACACCTCTAATGATACTGACTGAAGAAATGTATTTAATATAATCCGAGGAGTCCTAATCTTCCTAGCGTCCAAGAGTTGCCAGTTGCGTTTCTCTTGTTATATCAATATTTTTATTTAGAGAAATGCATATAGTATGTGGAGGAGTTATTCAGTGAGAAGCGATATTCCAGAATCAGAATTAAAAAATCAAAATAACTTCAGATAATATAAAAATTTTATCAAACATCTTAATAAATTCAAAAATAGAATTTTCCACTCTAAAATCAATCATTCATATAAATCCAAAAATTGAATATACCATTCTTTAAAAAACTGAAGTGCTAAAATAATCAACATTTTTCAACAAAAATTATTACTAAAGATTATTACTAAAAATAAAAGGTCTAATTTTGTAACTCAGTCCAGAGTTTCCATGGGGTCTACTTTTATCTTCTCAGCAAAAATACCCTGAAATATGCAAATTGTAGTACGATGTACACTTTATTGCAAAGTACAGGTATGGAAATACATGAGTTAACAAAACGTCCTCCAAAAAACTATTGAAGATCTTACTATATGACTTAACATAATATAACTTAACATTACCATGTCTCGAATCAAAGCCTCATGATAAGGAATCCCGCCAGAATCGCGACACAGTGTCTCGTGTGACCGCTCAGGGTCTCCAGGAACCAAGACACTGTCTACACCAGCAATCTTACGGGAATGCATTAAACAATAAACATGTTTAAAATGTTAAATATATTAAAAATGCTAAAAATGCTAAAAAATGCTGAAAATGCTAAAAAAATTCCGATATAGTACACACTCATTGTCAGCGATTTTGCTGGAGCCACAATTAAATACCAAAAATCAGCCCGATAACAGAACTCAACGAAACATTTCAACACTTACCGGTTCTAGAGCCCTGTGATAGTCCATTAACAACTGTAACCTCTCACTGAACCCCTCCCCAAACACTGCCGGGTTCAGTGCCATGAAGAACTGACCCAGATCAGCAGTTCTTGTCTCGTTGGGCGCTTGCCATTTCCTTATGTGAGGTCCCCAGTGCGCTCCAGAGAGGATGCCCACAGAACATTTCAACCATGAGAGCTAGACCGTACCCTTTGTAACCACCTGGTGAACTTATTAAGTTTATAAGTTATTTAGTTAAGTTGAATAATAATAATGTTTAAAATTGTAACGGTGATGGTCACTAGGTGAGTATTCAACTTCAGTCAAAGAGAGCATTTGATGGTCCCCCCCCCCCCCCCCCCCCCCAATTCCACTCAACTAACCAGATATCTCAGGTCCACCGAGAGGAAACAAACCACCATCTACAATAACATCTGTAGCATCTTTAGCCTCAATACCGTTAACATCGCACCCCCACCCCGCGGGTAGCTCCTCTCCTTTCCTCCGCTGTACTTCTACCTGGAGGGTGGTAATAACGTTTAAACTTTAATTCCTCATAAACATTCAGCATGACTGTGTAAAGAGCAGAAGTCTCGAGCACTTTCAAAATTTGTAGGTTGACGAGAATTTTAACATTCATGTATATAATAGTTGCACGGGGACTGATCATTGATCAAAACATGTGTCGAGTTTCCCAGACCTCGAAGTATTCTTTATATTAATTCGTCTCTCTGATTTAATTTTCGGTTTAATAATAAATTATAGAATTATCGACACATTATCCTTTCCAAATCTATAAATAAATCAGACCCCACCCTTTTAAAGGAATTTGTATTAAATAATACAAATTCCTTTAAAAGGGTGGGGTCTGATAAGATGACACAACATTTCACAGTTGATCTTTTCTGACGTTACACCAGAATGCACAACATCTAACTGTAACACAATAGCGTCAAGGTTCCCTCCACACAAAGCATCTTAAATTCCTGGGCCGGGAGATTATTAGATTGTAGATCTGATTAAGCAGATGTTGTCACCACGAGGTGAAATGGAGTCCAGGACGCAGTTTGACATTATTAAGTATAAACTTGTCGATTCTTCTGCCGCGCATCTGGTGGCATCTTGTGGCATCTTGTGGCACCTTGTGGCGACAGCTTTGAGTCAGTTCCCTTAGCTTTACGTAGCACAGTATAATCATTTAGGGCTCGATTATGAGAAAATATATCCCTGCAAGTTGCAACCATTTACAATGTAATATTTTTGATGGCATTATTGAAACGAAACATTATGCAACGTTAAATTAATTAGTTTCACCTAGAATTAAACGCATGATAACCCTTTTAACGTATTCAGAATAATGCCAATAGTTGGTTCATGCACAGGTGTGAGCTGTGAGCCCTATCATAAGGGTTTTAGCAGATTATGGGAGTACTACGAACTTACTTTTTTAGCATGATTAGATGCGCATCTGGTAGTGATATAATAACATTTCAATATTTAAGTGACCATATGGTGTCGATAGTGTCACTCTGATAAAACCCCGAATTGGGAGCTTCGATAAAGTTTTTATAGTTTGGGCTCTTTTAAAGTATAACCAGGTGGTCTGCATGTATAGCTTCACTGACCAAGTCACTGTATTGGTTACCTGGGTTTTGTGATACCTTTTATAGGTTCTCGAATGTTTTCATTTGTTGCTGTTTGTGAAAGTTCAACTTACTTCATTTGCATGTATCGAAATATGGCTTTTGATCCTTATACAAGCTTGAAGTTTGGGGCAATGCAGTTACACTTCTCTAAATACCCACAAAGAATTTTAAGGTGACCCCCGTAAGCAAAATATAATGTGTGGGCAAATATTTGCGGGGAGGTGAGCCACAACCTTCCCTCAAATACTTTCATCTCACCTTACCAAGTGCAAGTTCAGTTGTCGTTGCCATATCCAAAGCAAAATAATTATCATCTGTTGCTGGAGCAAAAACCGATACTCATACAGGATTAGTTCCCTCGTGTTGGTATCTAGGATACATAAAACATTAAATCTCTACGGTTACCCACCTTTCCTATGGCAACAGCTGAAGTTGCCATGTCCAGAGCGAAATAGTCATCCCCCAGGGCTGGGGCGATTACACTGATAGGATTTGTCCCCAATGTACAAACTTTACCCCTGGTTGGTACCTAGGACTTGAAGTGTCAGTCTGAAGAGAATTGAGAGTTCTCATAATTAAGGTTTAGGAATGTTGAGGGTTTCTTCTAGAACATAATTCCAGAAACACCATTTGTAGGTGCGAAAAGTAATCACGTGTGAAAAGTAATCACGCCCTCGACAGTTTGCACGTGTTTGCTAGTCATTATAACATACTATTTACAAATCTTTTATTGAATCTCTGAGTCTTCTCTCAGGGGATCGACCATCTGGTCTACTAAGTGCGGCGAGATTAAATAAAGTATACGATGATCTCATTCGCTTTGATGATAAGGACCTTCGGAGCTCAACCGATAAACCCAAACTTATCTATTGTTTTGTTTATGGCGGATAAGTTATACAATAGGGAGTCGGTTTCTTTACTTCTTTACTTCTTAAGAAATGAGTTCATCAATTCAAGCTCTTAGTTCGATTATTTGTGCTCAAAGAACAGTCCGCATCTGTTGTATATTGCTCTCGCCGACGAAGCCGCCTTATGTTATGAGTACGTCGATAGTCACATAAAAAAAAACCTAATTTGAGCGTTTTTCTTCACGGTGGAAAAATATTATATATACCATGTTAACTAAGGAAACCATGATATCCATATATGGTAACTTTAGTAACCATGGTAACTTTAGTAACTACGGTAACTTTAGTAACCATGGTATTAGCCCTGAATTGAGTACCTGAAGAGGAGAGGTGTTGGTTAAGGAGATCCCAACAAGACCAGCTTCTTTAGCCATTAGACCGTAAAACCCAGCAATCCCAAAGTGGTTTGAACCTGAAAAGGTACACAATTGTAATCACATGGTAGCTTGGGTATGTGTAACAATATTTTATAATGAATACATTCTACTGCGGTCAATATTAGAATATGTTTTCCATTTTTACATTTCCACTCACGTCCCTTGATAAAGTTAATTAAGTTCTACATACGGTGAAACATAACACTGGTTTACAGGTTTGTGCAATATGCATATTGCATAACCACATACGACCCTGGAGCCATTTCAACACAGTCGAATTGATTCCCCATATCATTATTATATATCATTCAGAACAAATTCTAATGTTAACTATTTAATTTCATTAACAGCCAGATATAACCATGTCAACTATTTCCCTCTTCGCTCTTCTCTCGATCCTGTGTTTCATATCCTGTGGCTTGACTGCTACCTTGGTATCAAGACAGAGTGCAGACATTCTGGATAGTTGTCTAAAGTAGGTCCAACCTTGTAAATCAGTAAATGTTATGAATTACTCGCTTTTTGTTTTAAATTCAGGTACAAGATTGCTGAGTTTCTTCTTAAACCAAGGATTTCTATGCTTTTCTTGACTATCCCTGGTAAGTTCAACTAATCTAACAGTGCATGCATTTAACCAGCATTGTTTAGAACACGAACAACAACTTCAACCTGGGACATGTACCCTGGAACGAGGAGATCAAGAAGACAACAGACAGCTGGTTGAGTCAGGACAGGAGGCTCGGACACTGTCCGGGATACAACAAGTTCCCTAAATTCGGGGGATATTGCTTTGTGGGAAATTATGGAGCTAGCGAATATGAGGTATACTATTTGAGTATTTGGGGATCGTTTTTCAAGATGTGACTGTTTTGTTGATGAGGAATTTTCAGCTAGTTTTTGATAAGATCATATCTTTGGTTTACCTAACAATCTCGACGTTATACCTACGACGTTATAAACACCCTATATATAATGTACATTGTATATTGGTTGAAATGTATGTTGAAAATCTGACTTCATTTTCAAATTGTCTAAAACACATTTCCCGCAGGTATGCGAGGATTTCTTTGCCAAGTTTGCTTCTCTTATAAAGAATGAACACCCCTACAGCGCTCCTTCAGCATGTTCTTCACGGTACCACAACGGAAAGTGGTACGTTTACTGCAGGTACGCATACGACAAGAAGTAGTGGAGGGACACAGTTTAGGAGCTTAGGAGGGGGTTATATTTCGCTTATATTAGCAATTAGGACCAATATTTGTGGATTGATATTTTTTACTGTTGAAAAAGAGAGTTGTTTCAATTTGTCATATTATCAACAACGTGATTTACCCAGTAAATATTAATTAAGTAAATATTATCTGACTTTTAATCAGATCAACGTAAATTGTATCCTTAAAAGTAAAACAAATTGATCAAAGGTTCCGCTTAAGATATGTTATCTGCGAATACCTAACCATCTGCAGCCTGTATGATGATCAATGTGTCCTAATCTTAAGTTCCAGATGGCTGAGTTTCAGAGAGCTGATCAAATGCAGCAAATCTAGAATTAATCAAATCAATGAATTTTGTACCACAATTTTCCTCGTAAAATCATGATCCGAAATAGAAACGGAGATAAATATCGCAACCCGATAATATTTGTTCATTGATATCAAGAGATCAGTTTAAAGTCAGGGTCATGGTTATTTTCTCAGCTCACTAGAGCACTAGTTGTGCAATCTTCTAATTTGTATCTTAAGTAATATCAACCTTTAGCCCTTTTAATTACTTTCCAAGCACCAATTTGCTCCACTTGACTGCTCCAGCCTGGTGAAATATTCAATAAACAGCTAACGATTCCCAGCTGACTCGAAGTAAATTTCACTTAGTAGTGGCGGTGTTTTGTTTCAAAAGCTGATATTTCATTAATTGGCTTTTAATTGCTTTAATTAGACCTTGGACCGACCCTCTTTAATTGATATTCGATGATAAGATCACCATTAACACCTGCATGCTGCATGATGATTCTTGGCCATGGCAATAAATAGGGGGCTCATTGCTGGCCAAGATTATTCTGATCTTAGTTTGGGACCAAGCTTTGGATTTTTATTAACTCTGACTTTGTGGGCGTCCTATCTTAGACACCCACCTTTTCTTCCGTAACAAATCTCAACAATTAACTTCGTTATGATGTTGCCAACGCTGTTAAAATTAAACCAGACAATTTTTTTCTCTGCCATAAACCTTTAAACCTTATTTTAGCAGGCACAGTACAACAGACCGCATTAAAATGTTTTGTATTGTTGACATTATCAAGTTTTGTTGTTGTTGTTGGGACTGTTATGTTATATTGACAATACAGCAAAACTTTAATCTCCGGACCAGTTTATTTACTGAATAATTATCTACTAAATTCTAAGCATCGGATAGTTAGCATTCAACAAACTTTAAGGCTGCATAGCATTCACTAGTCATGCTTTCATTTAATAGTTTTTAATTATTTGAAATAATTTGCCATGGTCGGCTGCAGTTTGGTCAACATATGGTTAGCATTGCCTGAACTTCGACGTTTCACTCTACTCATCTTAACTATAATGAAAAGGAATAAACTTAGGTTAAATTCTCATCCTGATTAGTAAATTCAGATAATATTTGACATTCCCTAACACCTTACAGATGACCACGACAACAGCACTCATCCGAATAGCTATCCTTCTTGGGTTCACTCTAATGAAGATATCCTCTAAACCGATTGCAGAAGTCTCAGATGATGATTTAAAGGACGCAGAAGCCCCAGTATCAGGAATACTACCAAACATCTCCTACATCGACTACAACCTAAAGAGCTGTCATCAGGAAGACTATGATGTCCCTTGGGCTGAATCTCTAGCACAAACTGCAGCACGCTACGTGGGGAGGAGCGGTATGCAGTCCGGCCATATATTGGGACTCAGGATGACGATAAGAAAGTATAGTGCACGTCTAGCTGCGCGCCATTACTGCTCCTCCAAGTCAAAGTTCTTCAGTAACAACAGTCCTGTGAGTGTGGGTTGTGCACACCAGACTGGCAACTCTAATGCAGATCTCAATATTTTGTGTCTGTATACCATGGCTGGAGTTCCTTAAATTCTTGCTGAACTGAATTACATTAGAAACATTTGGGAGCCAGAGTATTGAAAGGTTTTGAATTAGGTTTTAAATTAGGTTTTGAAGAGCATTTTCATTTGTGTATACTGAATATAATATGTTCATATGCCTTTTCAATGGGCGAAATGTTAAAATGAACATTTACACGTAGTTCGTTATGTATTCATTCGTTAAATATGGTTACAGCAGTGATATCTGGAATTAAATCATCTAGTACACATGTGGCCGAAAAAGAGTGTAATCACAAAGGTCAGGAGATAATACATTTCACAAATATGAAAACTGAAATTTCGTATACTAACATCGATAATATAATTTTTCTTCTCTGAAATTTAAAGGTTATAGTGTCAAGGTAGTGCTTGCATCATATAAACAATAACCTTCTTCTCTTGTTCCTCACCTTTAGCAGTTACAACACCCACACCAATTTCTTTGGATTTCTGAATTGCAAGATTCATACAATACTTGCCAACTGTTGCTCCTAGACAATTATTTCCATTCACTAGTGCTGAAAATGTTGTATTTAAATGTCTATGTTCAATTCAGAACCAAAATCAGAACATTTAATTCACAATACCAAGGATTTATAACTGATAAATAATTTTTTGAATTGTAAATTAAGTGAACAACATATCGTCTTTCTAACATGCACTAAACTACATTATATACCTGTTGCTGCAGTCTCTTTTTCTGTTACTGGTGAAGCATCTTTGTCAGATGTACCTCTCTGATAATCTTCACAATACATTTCTGTAAAATAAATCATGACTATTGGAGGATGCAATTTTTGGAGGAATATGATGATTCCAAGGCTGTGTAAAAATTTCTTATCTCTTGGTTTCAGAGCGTATTAATATTGAGCAAGATTGATTATGACCATTTGGGATATCATTCGGCAGTGGTCATATGAAATCCGATGAAATCAGTTCCACTGATATTTTTGGTAATCATTGTCCATCAGCCTCTTCATATTGTCATTTCATCATCCAGAATAATCTTTAATAATTGATCCAACCAAAATTACAATGAAACAATCTAATTCTCTTACTTCTTACCAAGTCTATTCAAGCCATGGCTGTAATGTCCACGTACATCAGCTGCAACTAGAACGTCTGCCAGGTCTTCACATTGTGCATCTCTTCCACCGGCTGCTCTCAATGATTGTATGATAAATCTTCTCACTTCTCTTATAGTCACTATCTTGGCCATGAATTCTGTGTATTACTTAAGAATGTTCAGGGAGTAAAACAATTTTTTGGTATAAACAGGATACAGTAATACATGATTCTAGGATACCAGGATGCAAAATATATACAAATAATTCATTGGATACACAGTAGTTGTAATCCTGATATGAGGATAATGTACGTTAATGAAATGGAAAGTTAGGATGAAACCACAAAAATATATGTCAATGGTGTCATTATAATAAATAAAAACAGTGGATTTTGATTGGACGTTCATTGTTACCAACCAATAAGGGGTCATTCACATATTAATCAGTTTTTGGCCAATTTTTAAAGATAATTGTAGCAGAGATATAATCAATAGATAAGTTAGGTAATCAGCCGAGTGGGAGCTGAGGGGGTTTCCGAATGATTACGAGGGGGGGGTGATAATAGATTCCGAAAGGAATCTATCATTCTTGCTTTGAAGTAGATCGCACCTTCGTAGATCGTTAGGTTGACATCGTCAATCAAGATGATTACGTAATATGAGAACGACCCCTATGTCACTTAACACAAAACATAGTTTACAGCATGGTACACAAAACATAAATATCTTACCACCAAAATTAATAAATTATTAATTACAACTTTATCAAACAATTTCAAACAAGTTCAAAAAGCATCCCCAAAAAATAACCCTATTCATACTTCCCTAATATTAAAAGTAACGGCATCAAGACTTTAAACTAAAACAGTAAAAATTGATTGACATACTGTAAAACAGTTACAAGCCAAGTAGGAGTAGGAATCCTTGTTACCTGAGGACCCCAGGCTATTATGTTCATTAACATATAGAATAAAGATTTGGCGGAATGACAGGCTGAGCGCGGCCCAGTTGTCATACGTTGTATGACCCGCCGCGCACGAAGTGCGCGGCTCCCCCTGTATCGTCAGTGAAACGACCGTGGGGGTCGCAACGTGATACAAGCGGCCCAGTAAGCCACTGCAAGCGCAAGCAGCAAGGGCTCTGGATAGAGCTTACTGGGCGGCACTCAGCCTGTCATTCCGCCGAATTTTTATTCGGGCTGAGTGAATTACGACCTCCATCGCCCTGAAAAAAGTGCGAATTCTTATTGGATGTTAGAGCGCACATGACTAGCATTTATGTGATAGTTCAGAACTAATTACAGTTGCGCAAAAGATCACGTGCACGCCAACTACCAATAAAAAAGAAGTGACGTACGCGCTACAAGAGCCGCGCGCTGAGTTAGACTGTAAAATTTGATTAATTGATTGTAAAATCGCATAAACGCGGCTATTTGCGCGTTTTAAAGGGTTCAAATACGCCAGGCTATGTTTATGAACATAATAACCTGGGGTCCCCAGGTTTACCTGGAGTCCCCAGGTTTACCTGGGGACCTCAGGCTATCATGTTTATAAACAATAGAGATTCGGCATTTCGGCGGAATGACAGGCTGAGTGCGGGCCAGTATGCAGTAAGATACAATAAAATTCAAAGAGTTTAAATAAAATTCAAATATTTGAAATAAATGGGACTTTTTCGTTAATTCTGCCACAATTTCCACACGTCCGGATTTTTAGAAACGCCACCCCCGGTAACTGTAATGTCAATGTGTAAGTCTTTTTTATATAGGTTTACTGAATACTGGGCGGCGCTCACAGCTCAGCTCAGCCTGTCATTCCGCCAAATTTTCATAAAAATAATAGCCTGGGGTCCTTAGGTAAATATAAATATGTTGTAGTTTTAGTTTTACTCCGCTTACTGCATATTAGTCTGCAGTCACACTGTTATGTATTGTATTGCGATGCACTACTGGGCCGCGCCGCGCACAATATTTCTACTCGCAACCGTAGATCGGCGCAAAATGCACTGCACTGGGCCTCGCCGATCTGTGAAGGATTGGCATCGTGAATCAAGTTATGGTTAAGTTAATACAAAATGCAATTGTATTAACTTTTTCTACTTTCGATTTACTGTATGTTTGATGTTAAATTTTACTCGCCGTAAATTTAATGCTTTTAATTAATTCTCCTTTATTTTTTGTAACGCATTTTATGGATAGTTGTCAAATTTCTTTTATTCTTTTGTCACAGAGTAGTTTTACTGTATACGTAATTAGATCATTTCTTAAAACATAATGTATCATTTAGAAAGTGTCAGGTGGTTACCACTTAAAGTTAAATCTTTCAGGATAAGCGGAACAGCGTCACACGGAGTAACAGCGCGGCGGAGGTAGTAGTAACAACTACTCCTGGTAGCAAAGCAATGGGATATAATCCTGAGACCGTCGGGGTAAGGAGGACCTCGACTAAAGGGTAGGTAACCCCTCACCTCACCTCACCTCACCTCACCTCACCTCACCTCACCTCACCTCACCTCACCTCACCTCACCTCACCTCACCTCACCTCACCTCACCTCACCTCACCTCACCTCACCTCACCTCACCTCACCTCACCTCACCTCACCTCACCTCTGCACCTCACCTCTGCACCTCACCTCACCTCACCTCACCTCACCTCACCTCACCTCACCTCACCTCACCTCACCTCACCTCACCTCACCTCACCTCACCTCACCTCACCTCACCTCACCTCACCTCACCTCACCTCACCTCACCTCAGACTATATACCTTACTGACATGAGGACCTCAGGCTTTTGTGTTAATAAGAAATGGCGCGGCGGAATGACAGGCTGAGAGCCGCCCAGTAAAGGGACACCCCACACCTTGTATAGTTCGGTTTTACTTGTATGTTGTAGGTTTATTATTATATAACCTACCAAGACGCGCGCTGAGTTGAAATAATTTGAAAAAAACATTTAAAGAGTGTCACCTGTTAAGGTTTTACTGATGTCAATTTACAACTTAATTTAATTTAAATGCAGACTTAATTTTGTCCACAAATTATTCGTCGGGAATGGATCGAAAATAAACACGAATTTTCTATTGAACAAATTGTAAAACAATTTCGTCTATAAACTTAAAGCAAATAAATAACCGTTTTCGAGTATATGCTATTATCTAAAACTATCAGATATATTTAAATTTAATACAAGTTTAAGCTTTTTGTTCGCTATAATAAAACCTCGATTAAAAACAATTCCTGACCCACTCCAGCAAAGACTTCAACATACAACTATATTGCTCTGTCAGTAGGAACTTGAGGCTAACTATCAACCTTGAAGACTTATGTTTAAACTTATGGACACACTTACAATTACATGTAAAACTATTATAATCTATAATTTTCAATATAAAATTCAGCAATACGAAAATAAATTCATCAAGAATTGAAACTCAGAGTCAATTGTACAGCTTTAAGAAATCGAAAAGGTTGTGGGATTTTCACTGTCTTTAGATTTAGTCGATTTGTCCGATCCGAGATACGCTCAACTTCGGGTCAAACAGGTCACCAGACCTTGTAAGCAGGTGACAACATGGGCACGTGACAACATGGCGAGCAAGTTTATTTTAAGATCTCTCTCATCGCCAACTCTAGCTTCTCTTCTTCCTAGGTTTGATCTGCTCGCTTCTCGTCCACATCTCCTCCTCCTCCATGTAATCGGAGAAGTTGTTGAAGAAGGTTATAATGTCGTCACGTGGTGTGATGTTGTACGGCACTGCCTGGCTTGTTCGTACGACGTTCATGAACGTGTAGGTCAGGTGACGCTTTGTGAAGTTGACGTGACCGCTCTCCAGTTTGTCTGGGTTTCCTGCAAGCAAACTGGGTTAGACTCAAAATAATCCTTACAACATTGTTGATTAAACGAGTGTTTATAGTATTACTGTTGATCAGTCCAAATGTTGTATTAAAAGTTGAAAGTAAGAAGAGAAATAAGTACCATGAATTAGGAAAGTAAGATCTGCCATGCAGAGCCCCAGATAAGCAATAAGAGGAGGAGTGGCTGACTTCAGAGCACTTCTCAGGTTCTTGTATGACTCTGAACTATCCATCAGTGTTTGAGAGTTATCGAGGATCTGCGGGAGGGATTATTAGTCAACTGATCTATTATATAATTGAAAATATATGCGCAATATGCCCGCTTGAAGCATGGTAAATCTGAAGTGTAAATGTATGAGATTTGAAACACACAAATTTCCTCTACTTACTTTTTCTTGCTTGCTGGATAAGTTGACTACTCGTCGAACAGCAGTTTTGCAGAGAGCTGCAAACAGCGCAAAGGCAGAGGAGAAGTTATTTAGTTTTATCAGGTGCTCCATCACGGAGAGGAGACGTCTGTAAACTCGCTGTCTCTCATCCTGGGGGTATATTGGTCAATTTACATCGAATTTTGAATATTTTTTAGTTGAAATATTTAGTTGTAGAGTGGATTTTTCTAGTCTTAGTAGCTGTTTAAATGAGGGGCAGGAGTATAAATACAGAAATAAACAAACCTTGGTTTCTCTGCGGAGCACAAGAGAAGAAGCCCAGAAACTGACGGAGTTGAAATGGTTTACGAAGGAGCACATATTTGGGGAGGTGGTCTCGGAGGGAGCCTTGACGTATTTCAATATTTCACACAACTGAAAGAGAGGAAGGGTTTACATTTTAATTTAACTGTCAATTCTTAATTTCTGTGCTAAATTATTAGATTCATTTTAGATGGTTGTAAACTTTTTTCAAGATCAGTTGCACTTTGATATATCCCACCAAAAATGATAGATCACAAACTAAGCTTACTTTGATTTTGGAGAACTTGTCAAAGTCTATCTGTGTCATCTGATGGGCGATGTCTCTAGGTTTGACCTTAAGAAAGAAGGTCCAGTTCAGGTGTTCGGAGGATATGGAGGTTGCTGGACTGTACATGACGTCACATTTGTGCTCCTGCAGGAATGTTGATTTAGTAACAAATATAAGAAATATTCGTGAAATTGTGCGGATGTAACTTATAAAGCTTTGTTAGGAGTGATAAATATACGAATTGTTTTCTGTAATTGTTCTTTTAAGTAAAAGTTTCCCAATTTTATAAACATTTACTGCATTCAGGTCCCATGGTCTACCTATTAAACTACATTCTGAATTCTGATCTATACTTCCAGATTATATCGACCTTTTAATGTAATTCTATTGCACTTAAGAGCTGGTAGCTGGTGTGGTATGATATTACAAATACTTGTTGGTTGCATGTGCGTTATGATATCTCCTACTTCTACAGCTACTACTACTACTATTTAACTATTAGTAATAAACTACTCTGACTACCGGTAGTTTAGCAGCTGCGCAATAAAGATTTATAACTTTGTGGGTGGTCTACTGACTAGCTGGGTGGTCTACTAGTTGTCGGTATTTCAGAATTTATAACGAAAGAAAATCTGATGTTTTTAATAATAGTTCACAATTTTACGTCATTCTTACGTCAATCTGGCCAAAGCTAAAGGGCAGTCAAAAGTTATAAATCCTTGAGAGCAGCCAATATTGTAAGTACCACTACTAGTGCTACAGCTGATGATAACTATAGTGAAGGTTGACATGACAAGTGGCGACTTTAATATCTATTACAGACAAATGCAATTTTCTAGAACGCTCATGTCATTGGATTTTAAATATGACTATATGACATTTAGCTAATTTCCATTTGGGATTTGAAGTCAACTGCTACTTGCTAGGATCAGAAAAATATTCAACTACTAAAATGCTACCATGACTACTATGCTACCATGACTACTATGCTACTACAGATTCCGTAACTACTTTAATACTATAACCACTTTAACTGCACTATCTAACTTACTGCTAAGAACAAGAAATAATATTACTACTGGTGAAAATACTGGTGAAAATACTGAGACAAATCTGACTGCTATTCGTACTAGGGATCGATCATTTTATTGAAAACTACAAATATTGAAAACTACAAATATATGTAGAAGTAGCGGTTGCTATAATATCAAGAAGTTAGAAATGTCAGTAGAAATATTAACTTACCCTGCAGTATTGGAATTGGGTGAGCAACGTGTTTTGAAGAGTCAGAGCCAAGGACATTTGCTTATCTTCAAACAATATCTGAGAGGAAGTCAAGGTTAGCAATCTGTCTTAAAGAGAATGTGTGAAATTTATTATATTATAACCCCATTATAATATTTTTGGGCAAAAAATTCAAAATATATACTTCGAATTAAATCCCCAATCTTCGAAATGTTCCCTTATTCTCGACAAATCTGGAATCACCGTAATACGATAAATTAACACTAATTAATTAATTAAACAATAAGTAATTACCTTAACAAATTCAGTAGCGACATCGATCATGGGCTTCGTAAGGTACATCCAAACGTTGGATAGAACATCGTTAAATAGCTTCACACAAGTTTCAGCAAGTTTGGTGTTTGTTTGAGCGTAAAACTGGTACCTGGTTTGGATATGTGAGTCAGGTGACGAGATAAAAATCAGAACAGCAAGAATGTGTTTAAAACAGAGTATCAGTAATGGAAATGTTGTCGAAAGTGTAAAAACAGGTACGTGGAATACTGAAAGGAAGTAAAGAATGTTACCTTTTCATGCACTTTTTCAGTATATCATCAGTAGTAGTAAAAGTAGAGTGGGTGAATATAATGGTCTGGACGAACTCGGCGTCCCGGTAGATAGTCGCTTCAGCGATCAGGGCGTCCACTGTTCCTCCCTTAATGTAGGAGTGCATGGAGTCTGAGGAAGAGAGGTTTAAGAAGATTGGAATTTGATCACTGCTAATGTAATGTTGAAGGTAAGTTGTTGACTTTTACAATGTAGTCAGATAAAATAAAAACAGAAAATGTGAGCTGAAACCAAAAGTAAGACTCACCACCCTGCTTGGCAGGTCCGTAGTTGTACATGAGCTCCGGTGCTGGATCCACCTCAAACAGGATCCCGGTTCTCTCGTCAGCATCTACCTCTGTACTGTCCACGGTTTCAGTGGTTTCTGCGATGGTGCGGATAGGAGGTCTGGGTGGGGTGATGGGGCGGGTGGGGGGTGGTGGGACTTGGTAGGTAGCTGGGGGAGCCTGTGCTTCATCTCGGTGGTACGTGTGGTAGATGCTCTCTTTCAGCTCCTGTTCGTGGTAATTGGGTTCTTGAAGGGACATCTTTAGGTACTCTTCGTCGATTTCAAAGGACGGCGCGTAGCGGTCCATCATCCGTGTGTAGTTTTTAGCTGAAATGAGTTAAAGGTTAGATGAATTATTTTACGTTATATAGATTTAATAATAGATAGGATGAAAATGTCAGTACACATCCTGGTAATCAAGGAAATAAACTAAAAATAAATCTCTATAATACCCCTTTAATTAATACCTTTCTTGTTTTGAGCTAAGGAACCGAAAGTGTTTAACATAGCAATGAGCTGCTTGGAAATGCTTCTTCGTCTATCAGTAGCATGCATGTTTGTGGCTAAATTCTGACCAAAAATACTGATTATCGTATGATGTACACTTCAGATGTTTATTCAAATTATGAAAAAACTGTGGAATATCGAGTGGTTCGCTTAAATAATACGAACTAAAAATGGACAACAATTGCACCGGTGGCAACCTTTTGCTGCACCGGCGGCAACCTTTTGCCACTGTAAATCAGATTTTTTTAAAGGATCATCAGCAACAACGGCACGAAAATGTCCAAGCTGTTCAATTTTATCAAAGCAGACAGAGACAAACTAATTGTAACGCAACAACATGACTTCTTGAAAAGTAATAAATTCTGGTGGACGTAATTTATACCCTTTAAATACCCGAGGAAGCAGCTAGTGAGTGGGTTTAAAGTATACTTTATATAATAATATATACAAAATCATATATATACGCTATTTAGAGATGGTTAAACAGTTTAAGATGCGCCAGATATTGGATAGAGATAACTGTTGAAGAACATTATGGAAGCAAGTAAATCTGGAGCATTGGGTGCTTATAATTTTAAAGAGACCGAGAGATTGGCAGGAAACTGCAGACAACTCTTAACCATCTTAACTGGTATGTGCCATTTTTTGAAAATTAAGAGACATATCACAGGGGAAAGCATTATAACTGCAAGCAAGTTACAACATAATTTGTCTGGTGTTTTGAGGGTTGTACAAGATCTGCCCAGGAAGACATTTAAAGATTCGGGTGGCGCAGTCAAATAACATTAAAAATCTCAGAAAGCAATTCAATCCATTTTAAGATTTTCTGCAAAAGCTGAAACACGCCTATTTTGGAATCTCATAGATTGCACGTACTTTTCCTTGACAGGAAGGTTGATTTTTTAAATTAAAAAATAGGATTCAGCTAACTTGGGAAATCATACGTATTCAAGACAAACATGATGGGAGTTTGGAAGAGAGTCAGAATTGAACACGATTGTAACAAACAACAAAGTTGACTGAGGTACGTAGCACGATGAAGCCAATCTTAAAACTCGCTTACGAAAGCGAAAAGAAGATTTCAAAATGGATATAATTCTTATTTTGAGTAGTTGTGGCAAAAAAAAACATCAGAGGAAAGACCGGCGCCCAACACATGAGAACATATGACCGATATTACGTGTTTTGGTGTCTTGTTGCTGAGGTGTTTTCTAGAAGGATAACATGATTTAAAAGTAGTATGGCAGTAGAACTTCTACATACCTGAAGAATAATTGACTAGATATTATATAATAGTTATTATCATTAGGTATCAGTTATTTTGAACGGCCCCTCTCCTATTCAGTATGAGCGCCAAATATTACCATCGCTCAATGACGATGGGAAACCTAACTACCAAGAGAAGCCGAGAGTAAATGTGCAGACTGCATCACTGCATCGAGCGTTGTATTAAGTTGGCACTAAGAAAAGAAATTAAGAGAAACATGATTTGAACACGATTGTACTAAGCGGTAACTAATGTATAAAGTACAGTAAGAAACGGTATTCTGCTTGAAGGCTGTTTCAGTGTTTGAGATGTGGCAAATAAAATTGAAACCAAAAAAGTGAAAAAACCGCAACATTTTAACGCAATTAAAGCGAGTATATTATTACTACTGTGATGCGGAAAAGTCGCAACAATTCATAGGAAAAATACTTCCGCCATGTAGACCGAATTGTATTCGGCTTTCCGGCAACGTTGAGAATATTAATTCAACTTAAAATTACTGTGAATAGTTATGTTTGCATGAAAAATTAAAAATAGCCCGCTAAAATCAATTATTCGATTGAGAGAATTAATTCGAGATGTCCCAGTTAAATATTTTGCAAGCTTTGCACTAGTAGTATCTGCGACGAAAATAGCAACGAAACGAAAATCACGTTGTGTGCAATAAAAACATGTTTGTGAATATGACTCGCTCATTTTAGACACAAAGCGTACGGGGGGCAACTCTAAAAGGTCAGATTGAACTGTGGTAAGTCAGACCTAAAATATCCTCGATTTAAGATCCCCCGACGACTTTAAAGCGAGCTTGGCTAGAGCATGTGTGTTATAAACTGAACATTAATAACACTAATAAGTTAGATCGACAAGAAAATGAATTGGACTGGTGTGAGCCTCCGAGGGACCAGTAACCAGTGACCGGTAAATTTACCGGAAACAATAAGACTCACGCATCTGAAGCCCTGAAAATGATAACCTCCCTCAGATGGCTGAATATTGGGAGGCTAAGTGAAGTCTCGTGCTGCTAGAGGCGAAGATGACGTCATCAAATATTCTGATTAATCTCAAGCAAGCTGAAAACACGTGCACACCAGCGTTTTAACAAGTTGCCGATTGAATGATGGGAGGTACAATGGTTGCAATACCACGTGGTACAGATCGCTCCGATTGAACTGAGCCTGTTAAGATAACAGTGAACAATCAGGTTAATCACTTTCTGAGATATGGGCGGGGCTGGTAAGTCACAAGTTGAGGTTGAGGTTATCAATGTTTTTTGGCATGAACACAATTATAAATACCACAACAACTCGCGTCCTCAACCCCCACCCATGACAAAAGATAACAGATAAGGAACCTGCTTATAAAGCTTATGTAATCGAATAATAAGGTTCTCCTACCGCAAAATACAACCATTCCCGAAATACCGAAATGCCATGTTAGAATGCTTACTAACTGCGTCATGCCTTGAAAAGGGATCCTTGCTAGAAAGCAATTTGAGATTTGTACTCTTGAGTGTGATGCATCAAGGAAAATTTAAGAATTAACGAGGTCCCCAGGAACTTGATCTTCTGGTCAGTCATAATTTTACATTCTCAGAACTAAGGAGAATATCCGTGACGTCATCATCGGTGACTTGTGATTGTTGGAATGGGGCGATATCACGGTTACTCTTACTGAGCGGTGGTATTTAAAATCCCACGAATATCTTAAATATTTTAAATATCTTAAAGTAAAGAGTATCTTTAATCTGACACTCGTTTAAAATAGTGACTTCCACCCCTGAGAAATTACCACAATATAACGGGTTAAATACAGCTGTAAGGAAGCAAATTATAAGGTAGTGAGGAAGTTAGCACCACCCTTCGAAGGTGGAGTATAGGGTACTCTTAATAGACTCTTTAAATAATTCCTTAACTTAGAAAACCTGCAGCTTGCAACATACTTGCAGGAAGTGACTAACACTATTTCCAATTCGATAAAAATTGGATAGAAGTTGAGAAAACCGAAGCTGTTCTCGACTTCTATCCAATTTTTATCCATTCACCATATTTTAGCCTTTAGGTGACAAAAATTATGTGATCCTGTAAATATTCTGATCTTTACTGCAATTAAACAAATGAAGTGCATTAAATATGCAGCAGCCAGCAAATCGTGCAATTTTGCAACCGCTGGAATATAGTGAATTAGTGGAGAGTGGAAAAATTGCACAACTTTAAACATTTAACAAAACCATATTATTTCACTAACAGTAGTTAATAAAATGTAAAATTTCAAAATGGAAAATTAACAAATACGTCACGTGTTAAATACGTCATACAAGGCGTGAACTATATTAAAATTAAGTCTGAGATATTGTTGGATTAAGATCTCCAAACTAATTGTCAATGGCATTTTCCAAAGAAAGAGTTGTGACGAATATTTGCACTTTGAAGTATGAAACTAAGAAAAATACCATTTCTATTAGTAATCACTATGTGAGTTCTATGTTTAATGTTTATATTATTATAATGTCGTGTGTAATGTTAAAACACGTGCAGCACGCGTAGAAATTCTATGTACGGTAATAACAACGTGGTATGAATCAAGTAAAAACAAAGAAAAAGAGGAAGTTACAGTCCAAGATCTGCGCACTTTCAAGGATTAATACAACAGTTTAAATGCTGTAATACTAATGTTGATAACAAATCACTGGTTGAACAGATGGGATCCATCTTGAGTAACGGCCACAAATAAATACCATACAATCCTTAGCTCAAAAGTCACATTTATTTAACAACTTTCGAGTCTGTAGTAACTATGTTCCCAAATCTTTCTCAAGGCTGTTAAAATGACGTCGAATATTGCCGGGTTTTAAAAAGAAGCTCTGGCACGAAACACTGCATGGCCGGGGTACATAGTTAAAGTTAAGGTGAGCACGTCCTGAACAATATTAGCAAGTGGTTATCAGGTGATAAGCACGTGGTTATCACTTGATAAGCACGTGGTTGTACGTGACATATTTTGTAAGCTCCCCGCCGCTATGATCACGTTATTAAACCGACTGGTGAAACGAGCACAGGAGTTGAGAGAACACGAGTATTGTCATCGGCAAACTTCCAATACCGGGTCAAATTCCGCGAATTCCAAAGGCAATATCACGCATCACTGGGTCCTAAATTTCGACGGGAAACATTTTTGGCAGCTAGTTCTGCTTGTAACACTTAGGCAATGTGAAAGTAAGTAGGTCACTTTGGTGACTTAATAACTGGTGTGGATATTAATGACTGGTGACGTGAAAAGGAGATTGTAAATTTTAAAACTGTTAAAAAACTGTTAATTGTCGGTTGTTTCAGAGGAACAGCCGACAAAAAGTTATTTTTCGTCGATATTTCGACAAGTGACAACGGAGTTACGGAAGTCTTCACCAGATATTTCCATTCTCAAGGTACGAAAGATTGAATATAACGATTTTAGCGACTTAATAAATGAGCTTTATTCTAAAATCTTATAAAGAAGTAGTGAAAGTGGGACAAATTGAGAGGCATGTTTAAATGAAAAATTCCACATTTGCCATTAGAAATACCAATCTTTTCGTAATTATCTTACTATATAATTATATAATTATAAATAGTTTTAAAAGTGATCTTCGGGGACGAGCTAGAGGATTGTCTAGGAACGAAATGATCTTTAATTAGCTTAGATCAACTGTACATTAATAAATCTGCAGTTAAGTATATAACAGTAGCAGACTTGGTATTAAAGATTTAAGTGGAATTTAATAGCAAATAATTGGTGGGAAGGCTTAAATCAAAAATAAAAATAAAAATAGAATATAGTCCAAAAGACAATGATCGGATGAGCCAGAGATTTCATTTTCTGTAGAAGTATGACAAATTGAGTATAACGATTTTAGCAACTTAATGTAATAATTAATAAGACTAATTCTAAGATTTTATAATGACAGTCCGGACAAATGTGGAACCTAAATGAAATATTTTTAAATTTTCCATTAGCAATATCAATCTTTATTAAGTAACTATTTTGGTTCGATGAATTTGTGATCACTGATTGAATTAATTTCTTAGAGATCAGCTCACTATTACTGAATCAGAATTCAGACTGGAAAAATATCTAAATAGAGTTTGGTAATGTAATATCAATAAGTTGTTGCAACATATTTGAAGGGAATCTGATTAAAAGTAACAAGAATTGCGCCCGTTGTTTTGTTTTGGCGGACGCTAGATTTCCATTTCACATTTACTATAAATTTAAGTATAAGCTCCAATCAGCTCCCTTCAATCTTCATGATAATAATATTGATAAATTATGCATCAAATACGGGAAACACTTGAAATTCAGTTCAATTGCCGTAGAACTTAACTTGTATCTGTAATTCAAGAAATTATCAGCAAAGGTAAACTATACTCGTGTACACATCAATACACTATGCGTGCCACGTACAAATTGGGCGTATTACCTAATAGTAATATTATACATTACATGCATCATATACATTTAAACACAGTCGCGCCGCGCATTCATAGATCACAGGCTATCTATACATCACATCTCCGCAAGCAATCCTCGCGCGCGCGCAACTTTTTCGTTGCATGGTAACGGACGGAATGACATCATATTCAGACCCGCCTACTGCTATCTCCAAAATCCACGTTTTTCTGCAAAAACCTCCATTCGTAACCTTTCACTATTGCCTTTTTTCAAAAGGGTGAAAAGGAAAAAATCCTCATGAAATTGTTTACTCTCGTCCAAAGGAGGCGCTAATTTCTGGAAAGATAAACCAGTAACTGTGGCAATATTGTAATCACAAATATCACAGAACTAATAAGTGCGAATTCTCGACAGATTCCCTCAAAGAAAAGATTGTTACAAAGACCTGCTAAGTGGTAACCTGGTAACCTGGTAACCATTGGATAAGTGAGCACTATTTTTTCGGACACGTGACAACGGTAAACCAATCAGCGTCCAGATCCTGTATTAGGTTTATTGCCTATAGCCTGACGAGCCTCAGAGCTACCACCCACCTTTCTACCAAAAACACGATTTTCGAGCAATTTCACCGGAGTCACAAAGGTTCGGGCAGGATCGTCCGTCGTGGCTCCAGCTCAACGACCGATCAGGTAATATTCAGATTACTTCTCCTAAGTCAATGAAAATGAGGAACTTGGTCATTTTTAATTTTTACCGTTTACCCAGGCCTTTACCTCGATTCTAAAGTTCTAAGGACATGTTTTAAGATTTTTAAATTTTATCTAGATTTGAAGCACAGTTCCCCTTCACCACAGTTCCTGGAGACCATTGCCCAATGAAATCAAAGAACCAGATAATAAATGTTAAACCAGCGCGAGTTGTCAAAACTTTAATGAGAGATATTATATTTATAAGGACTTCTTATTGAGAAGGCAGGGTCTGAGGGTCAAGTCTAATAATTCTTGCAGGCAATAGCTTGCAAGTGAATTTAAACTTTATTGAATCTTATTTGAAGGAATATAGCATCAACGGTATTACTTATTAGGCACTTGGCCAACTTGGCACGGTATTAGGCACTTGACCAACCCAAATTGACAGACTTAGTGGAACTAATAATTGTCAAACTCCGATTTACCGCGCAGAACAGGCAGGGTATGGGTGAAAGGAAACTGCCGCCCTAAATCAGAGTTTGTGGTCAATTGGGGTTTGAATTGTTCACAAAATGTACCATGTTCAGTCCAATGTGGCGAAAGAAAATGGCCGCAGTAAATTGAGGTTTGCGATAATATCCATTATTTAATATATAATATCTACGATCTAGGAATGATTTATATTTATAGTGTGGGCAGTCGATCTTTAAGAACCGACTCAGATGAATAATTGCACCAAGGAATCGTCTGGGAATTTAAGTAGTATTACGATTACTGATTATCTTTCAACTATATGGATAATATATCGGCCAGCTATTACTAAACCAGACTAGGTTATAAATATTAAAGTGGAGTTTGATTATTTAATAGCAACAACTTATAATTTAAATGCGTCCAATGAACTCGAAGAACCTGATAATGATCACCAGTCGTAGAAAATAATGTTTTATGATGATCGCTGATATCTTATAATTATGTTCACATAAATTATTTTTCAACAGGCAACAGCTTACGAGTTTAGTTGGAGAGCTGTTGCATAAACGGACAGGCACTTAATATTACGACTTGGGAAGGTGCGGTCTGGCGGTGTGCCAAGAATGAGTTTAACCTTTTAACACGTGATAGTATGAATAAGTACTCTGAATTAAATCTAATATGCCGAGTTAAGTTTCAAAAACTTAAATAATTTATGGAGATTTCAAAGCATCACACTAACTGATTACAATTATGAAAAACGACACTGATTTTCGGATAACGAGTGATAACTCTCAGACATGCACAATAACATGCAGAGGAAGGATGACTCAATGAACGTCATGTCAACTGTATAGTTCATTTGGTCCTTATTTGGAAGAGACTTGGGGCTGGTTAAAAATCGGAGATAAAGAACAAAATCAAATGATTAAACACAGGTTAAACCAAGTGAGTGGAAAGAAATACATGTATAATAAAAAAGAGAGGGTACTCATAAATAAACAATACTAAATAATAACGCAACTTAAATGAACAAAGTAAGTGTTCGAACCTCCATTAAAGTGCCCGGAATTACTCCGTGTTGGTAAGGTTGGGGGAGGTCCCTCAGGGAACGCACCGTTAGCCGGCATTCCTTTCAACTCGAAATCTAAGGGAAATATAAGTTATGATTTATTGGCTTTTATATCTGGTTGATCAACAAATCGATCAGTAAACGTATTAATATTTTATAAATCTTGACACATTCGACCGTTCTTAAAATTGAAACTTGATGAATCAATCAAAATTTTATGACAAGTCCATCTCGCGAGAAATTAGGAAATTGACGCGATTTATTACTCCATAGTGTGTGAGGCATCTAACAAGTATATCCCTTACTGACACTTCCTCACAAAATACTTGATTTATTCGTCAAGAGATCCGCGCTTCGTATATCTTGTACCGTTTATTAAATAATTCTTGAGGAAAATAAATAATTTTCGAGGAAGTTTAAGTTAAGGGTGGGGAAGATGGGTAACAGCCGGTAACTATGCCGGTTATAGGGTGGACACTACTACACTAAACTTAGAGTGGACTACCGAGATGAGAAACCTAACTCTTTTTTCTCCTGTTAACTCCTTCCTTTCTGATTAAAATTGTGTAGTATTGATGCTTTTCATACAAACAAGTTAAACCAAATTCTTTATGTCATGTATCCTGGGTTTGGACAGGATATGCCCGCTTAAAATACTTCCATCGCGTTACATAACATAAGGTAGGTTATGGAACTGCTGGAGCAACGAGTGCCGAAGGCACGAGTTCCGACAGCTGTTCCATAACTTACTTATGGTACAGCACATCAAGATAGATAAGGCTACAATTTGCGACCAAAAAACCAAATTTGGACTTAATTAACAATTAAAAAAACACGTTTTTATATTTTCTTCCGTAACGCTGACCAATCAGAGACGATCCACGTGGCCTATAGCATGATCACTCTTGCGTGTCACGTGAAATATTTCCTCTATTTCATTGGATGCTTACTTGTGGGCACGTGTAAAACCGGTTTTTAGTTACTCAATAAGTTGTTTGTATACTCCAAACAACTTATTGAGTAACGCATTTTTTGGCAGATCTTTTAATTGAGTTTTGAGGTGAGATTGAGAGGATTAGCGTGCAAGGACCCGGTCCTATTTGATCTTTTTGTGCCAGGAATTTTCATTTTTTTTGATGTCTCATCACTTATGTCTCGTGACTACGCTCCTGTGTCTGGTCCTCTTAATTATGTCAGTTTCCGTTACACCTGCATCAAACAGTGTGTTGAACTGTTGATGGTGCTTGTTCTTAAAAAATGATTAGTCGCCTTAATTATTAGGAGTGAAAAAAGCACTTTATTTAAATCCGCTTTACCAGGTAGTTTTGATAAATAAAACTTGAATATATTTTCAAATTATTGTTGGTGATAATTTCCTGTTCAAATCTATGAAAGTAGTTCCTTTCCGATCTACTCTAATTTAAAACGTTTAAAATGATAGTTCATACTTGGCCCGTGCTGTTCTCTAGAACTATAAGTATTAAGTATGTGAATCTCACATAAATATTCAGAAAAACCGGTTTTACTCTGAGACGCTTGTGAATGGCCATTGCAGCAGAGTGCTGTGTCACGGGGGCATGTCTCGTGACTACGTCACTCGACTACCACGTGCTTGTGCCGTTCCATAATTCTCAATAAATGTAATAGATTTGTAGTGTTGTAATTAATTTAAAAACTAATTATAATACCAAATCGCCGCGCGCGCCCACTATCAGTTCATTCTAAAACTCACTGTATGCACGTGGAGGAAGTGGGGGAGGTGGAGCGGGTACATTCGGCAGCAACCGCAAACTGTACAGTTGGGAGAAAGTCAGGCGGTTCTTCGGCGGTAATGGTGGCGGTTCATCCGGCTCCTCATCCTCCAACCCGCTATCTGCATCACTTTCACTTTCACTATCACTGTCGTCAGTGTAATGGGAACTAGAGGACCGGTGTGATGTTACACTTCCCTCTACCTGAGAAGAGAAACTTGTTATTAGATGGCAAATGGCAATGGGGGTGATGCAACGTCAATTAATGTCAATTAATGTCAATTAATGTCAATTAATGTCAATTAATGTCAATTAATGTCAATGTCAGTTTTGCAAAATTTTGGAATACTGACATTAATTGACACGATATTTTTCGACCAGAGATTATGTAGTTCTACCATATTTTTAGCACTTTAGAACGTTTATATCATCAATTTATTCACTACTATCACATATGGAAATGTGAAATGTGAAAAAAATTCAGATCATACGGTTTCCCGAAATTTAATTTTCTTAAATGGGCGTGGCCATCCAAGGACGTGGTTCTCAACATCATCAGAACTTAAAACCCACATTAAACGAAATGCCTTCATGACATTTATATTTGAATAACGAATCTTAAACAGCTAACATTACTCCTTCATACTAAAAAAGCCGATTTTAGATATTTTACCTGTATAAGAAACCAATAAAATATGGGCGTGGCCGGTGGGGACCGAAGATGGAAGAGTTGGAAGCTGAAATTTTTTTTGGTGGTCTTTGAACCTAAGGATCAACAGATAAGAACATACTCATAATTATTCAAGGACATTTTGTTTTTTTGAACCGGTCTAACTTACATAGGTTAATTAACTAAACTTAATCATATGAGTAAACCACGGTGTTATTGCAAAGAACCATGACAAGGGTATCAGACCTATATTAATCTAAGAGACGAAACAAAACGAATCATCATACAACAAATTTTAAAATCCTGCGGCACGGGATCCTGTTGTTTTCCTACTCTGCCTCTCCTAAACCCCTCTCTCCTTCTCCTTTCTTCAGGTTTATTCTTCAATTTTTTAAATTAGATAGCAGATATATTTTCTTTCGAATGTAGTAATGGCATTATACATTATTTGGTATCGTATGTATGTTGTGTTTAGTGTTTGCTAACTAGGTATGTGCTATATATTTTGAAGAATTTTGAGGCTCACGACGTCTCGTCCCATGGGTTGAGTTGTAAGCTGAGTATATGTTCAAATCGCCTTACTTCGTACGATGAAACATCGACAGGTTTGCCTTAACCTTTGGGACGAGTGTTTGCCCACCGGGGATCCAAAAATATGATCACCATGAACATTACTTTGACACGTGAACTTATCAAACGACTGTAATGATTCCATTAAATTTTCTTAGTACATTTAACTAGTTTATAGTAGATACACACGATCACAGAATAGAAGAGCACAATTGGGCTCTTTGTTCTGCGACCGTGTTTCCTCGGTGGGCCGACAGGTTTTTGTTGTGTAGTAGTGCTGGGGAAAAAACACGCTTTAAATATCAATGAATGTAAATATTGTTAATTGACATTAGTGCCACAGTTTATGTGGTAAAAACAAATTTATGGTCAAACATTATATATCGTAGAAGGGCATGATTTACCCACATCACTAAGCATCTGGATGGATAATTAGCACACAAGGATAAACTGACCTTTAAACATGACCACCAGCAATATCATATAACCATAGCTCCAAAATAAATAAATTGCTCTACATAGAAACATCTGGCCTGATCTTATCACATTGTGGTCCCCTGGGGTTCGGTAAAGCCCTTACAGGCAACTGGGTCCTTTTACCAGCCACAATAAAATTAGTCATGCCAGTACTGTCATAAACTGTAACCAACTATTTAAAAATAAGATATCTTTTGCTAGAATTTTAAATTTTAAGCCATAGAGCAATCTTCTCAATTTTAAAATTTAAAAATAACATTTTACCCTAACTATGATGTGGTGGCATTTCATACTTAACTAAAATTCAACTTTGAAAGTCAATAGATTATTAGTCACAACAAAATTATAGTTTAAGACATCCATTTTGCATTGTGTTTCCAATATTAGAATTTATGATATGTATTGATTGAATAATTGGTAATAAATTTAACTTTTGTTTTATTAACTTTTGTTTTATTAGACGTGAATATCTTGAATATTTATCGAATAATGATAATCTCAAATTTCAAGACATATTAATGTCAATTAATGTCAATTAATGTCAATTAATGTCAATTAATGTCAATGTCAGTTTGGGGTTTTTATGGAATACTGACATTAATTGACGTTGCATTCCCCCCATGGCAATACCTAACCAATGATACCTAACGAAATAACATTCTCCCTCTAAATATGATATAATGATATTTACTGTTACAAGACACTCACCCAGATGCCTGTGTCCCTGCTGATACTGTAACTGAGTTGTCTGGAAGGGACAGGAGGAGGGGGTGCGGGGGTACCGCCCCCATGGTGGGACATGTTGTAGTCGTAACCTCGGTCTAATGAGGACGACATTGATGATCCTCTGCTCTCTCCGTTACCTAGTTATCAGATGAAAGCATTAAACAGTGCATTAAACGTTTATATATTGGACTTTTTGACCATCTCATGTCGCAAAAGTCAAGACAAATTTTATAAAACTTTTAAAATCGACTGGTGAAATTTGATCCACCGTTAAAGACAGATATCAGTATTTTGGTACCTCAAAAACATGCTTACCATTGTAATCGGCGAAGTGGCCGCTAGTACAGTATGTATGTGATTCAAACAAAGCCAGATTACTGAACTCTCCGCTGATATTACTACTCTGCGAGCCATATCTCGGAGGTAGAAGAGGCCTGAGAGGTGTTATCATTATTAGTTCAATTCGTGTTTAAACGATTAAACCATTAATTTCTCGAAGTCGAATCTTTGAATCAGGAGTATAATGATAAAACCGATTTGCTGAATAGCAGCATGCTAATCACAAATATCACTACTTTACTACATAAATGGTTGTCAAATAAATAATGTTTAAAATATCAGAGTTTTCAGAGGAAGTAAAGATGATAGTTTATACTAGATAACTCACCCTTTAACTCTAGGAGGAAGGGGTGGTGGCATTGCACCGTGTTTCTTCTCCAAACTTCCGTAGGCGGATTTCTTTCTCAGCATGGATGCAGCAGGAGGTGGAAGAGGCGGAGGAGCACCCTCGTTTACCAGAGAGTGGTGTGGAAGAGGCGCTCCCTCATTCAGGAGGGAGGGATGTGGAGGAGGCAGATCCGGAGCTTCGTCTTCCGGGATGCTGTCTGATGATACTGCACAAAGTGAAAGCTCCATTAGTGAATTAGTGAGACTTCGTGGGTACGTTATTCTAAGTTCCCTTTACTTGTCAAGATATAATATCTAGAAATCGATAAAGCATTTAGACGATATGAATGACATCTCAACGCGAGACATCATTAAATTAATGGTTTCTTCACAAATTTGGTCCTGAAAGAAACATAAAATACTCACGGATGGAATGTCTGTGATTGTATGGAGACCACCCAAGAGGCAGGGAGTCATTATAGGACTCTGAAGACTGGGAGCTGTAGTTACTGTATCTTGTATTACCCTGCATAAATACACCATTTTAGGGAGAGGGAGAGGGAGAGGGAGAGGGAGAGGGAGAGGGAGAGGGAGAGGGAGAGGGAGAGGGAGAGGGAGAGGGAGAGGGAGAGGGAGAGGGAGAGGGAGAGGGAGAGGGAGAGGGAGAGGGAGAGGGAGAGGGAGAGGGAGAGGGAGAGGGAGAGGGAGAGGGAGAGGGAGAGGGAGAGGGAGAGGGAGAGGGAGAGGGAGAGGGAGAGGGAGAGGGAGAGGGAGAGGGAGAGGGAGAGGGAGAGGGAGAGGGAGAGGGAGAGGGAGAGGGAGAGGGAGAGGGAGAGGGAGAGGGAGAGGGAGAGGGAGAGGGAGAGGGAGAGGGAGAGGGAGAGGGAGAGGGAGAGGGAGAGGGAGAGGGAGAGGGAGAGGGAGAGGGAGAGGGAGAGGGAGAGGGAGAGGGAGAGGGAGAGGGAGAGGGAGAGGGAGAGGGAGAGGGAGAGGGAGAGGGAGAGGGAGAGGGAGAGGGAGAGGGAGAGGGAGAGGGAGAGGGAGAGGGAGAGGGAGAGGGAGAGGGAGAGGGAGAGGGAGAGGGAGACCACCCAAGAGGTAGGGAGTCATTATAGGACTCTGAAGACTGGGAGCTGTAGTTACTGTATCTTGTATTACCCTGCATAAATACACCATTTTTAATGTTATTTTTATCTCTGTCATGTCGGAGAGTCGAGCCAATATAAGTTCTAGGATATCGGACGGTTTTAAAATATCGGTTGGTTGGCCCTTGGATCTAGAACAAATTAATGACGATGAAGGTGTTATCGATTACCTAGGACATTTTAGGTTTTCATTCAAGGTTTAACTTGATTTGATGACTTATCATTTTAACATTAAATTCTCGATCGTTCTATCATTGAAAACGTGACTTTTTATCTTATGGGCGAGTTAATATGGGAACATTCCGACATAGAAATACACTGAGATAAAAAGGGTCCCGAAATAGAAACATGCCATTTACGTGTGTCGTGAAAATAAGTAACGAATTTAACGAGAATAACTGCATTTACTCATGCCAGACCATGAAACTAACCTGAAACAGTGCGAAGTTCTCAGTGTTGGGAAGAGACCCATGCCCGGAGCTCTGTGATTGGAGCTCGTCCATGTCGTGCTGGAGGTTCATACCCCTGCAATTGTTAAACTGTGCGGCAAATCTCAGAAAATCTCTCCGACGAAACTTGGCGAAGTAAACCGAGCGAGACATGACTGCTCTCATGGTTTGTGAAACTATCGGTAGATCGGAACTACAACGTGTATCTAGTACCATGATGCCCAAGACAAGGATGGTAAGTAAGAAATAGATGGGATTTTGTGTGACTCTGGTAATGTCGGTATATAAATAACCGCTAGAACGACTAATGACGAGGAGGAGGAAGAGGAGGAGGAGGAGATATTGATTTCAACAACGTACCTGGAATCCGGGTGGTAGTTTTGTAGACAAATGGACATCATTTTCTGAAAATAGACAGCTGATTACACAGTGTGTCTAATGTCTATTACTTAGGACTAACTACAAATATAACATAAAACCAGTTACCAGACTAGATCTGTAACTAGTATCTATACTATATACTATATACATCTATATAGTCTGGGTAATCCCACACACTACAAATGAACACGTGTGACGTTGTGACGTCAGGATACGTCATCTCTGTCTAAATAAGGCCCAGGACAACCTACCACAGCCCCCCTGCTACATCATGGCTTATGTAAGGGGGATTTGTCTTCCTGTTTGGTGGGGAACAGTCCTGTCCTGAAGGTCAGAAGGTGGGGTGTAATGATGTGTATTTTAATAGGCGGGGGAGTGTGATACGGATATTATCTAGTTATTGGTAATGATCCGATACTTAATATGGGCTTGTGGGACGGTGAATTCTTGGGTAGGAATGTGTGGAATGTTGCTTGTTGTTGTTGTGTCAGGGAATGGAATGTGACGGGGATACCAACAATCCGAAGACACGCATAATACGTGTTTTGTAATCCGGAGGAAAATAATGGAAACGTGGAAAATTGGTAACAGTAGACAAAAAGTCAGACGAAAAGTGAATACACTCTGACAGGGCAAAGTACACAACAACCAATCAACAAGAACATAGTCTGCAGGTGCATAATTAATTTGTTACTTTGCGGTCACGTGGTCACATTAAATCGTCATTTCAATGGCTTCCCACTTAAATTGCCACAGAAGAACGGCACCAAACTGAGTTTGCTCTGTTCACAGGGTATGTGTAATGTTATGAAGCGATGTGGACGAACCCTCAATACAGTCTGACAAAACAGTTACAGTGCTAAACTAGAAACCTTTTGTAGTGAACAAAACAACAGTCTAAATCACTTGCGAAAAATAGCTGCTGAAAGTTGGTCAATTCTTAGAGTGAAGTAACGGGAGCTGTGCACTGAACAGACAGACAAGAGACAAATATTGAGAATATTGACAATTTTGACAAGCAGACATATTTATTAACAAACATTCATCTCTTTAAAAGACAGATATATATCCTCAACAACCACATATCTCAACAACAAGAAGCTCTTTTTAACAAACCAACAATAACCCATACAAATAACATTTCGTAGAATAAAAACTACAAACAACAATAATTAACACATGAAAAAGAGCAACTTAATAACTTGTTACGGCTCACAGCTTCGAAAGTTAATTATGTGGATATGAAGGAAGCCTACACGGAGTGTATCCACAAGATAAACAAAGATTCACGTGAGTTTTTGTGCAACGTTAAACAATTTTTAGAAAAATCTAGAACAAGGTCCTGTATATAACGAGAGAGAGAAGGAGAGAGAGAGAAGAAAAACGGACGGAAAGGTACTGCTGATAAAGTTTCTGTTAAAAGGCAGGGAGTAGGTTGATGATAAAGTTAACCTGAAAATTAGAGAAATGTGACACCGATAAATATACAAATTCTGACGCGAAGGTTTGATAAGTTATGTGCCAGTGTCCGGTTTTACTGTGAAAGTGCTTATACCGCCGCAGATAAAACCTGTGATTTTGTCATGAAAAAGTACGTTATCAATTTAAGGGGCACGAGCCTTGGTTTGTACGGGTTGGCACCGTCAGCAAATATTCCAAGAAAAATATTAAGTTTTAAAACGAATTTGAGGGTTTTCACTGCATGTTCTACGTTTCAATATGATTAAAGCCTTAACTTCTCACTCGAACAAAACGTGATAATTGCCCAAATAAAATCCTCCATTTCTCGTAATGTGTGAATACAAGATAACAATGGCCAATGTCTGATGATAATCATTGTAAATGGCTTTACGGTCTTATTGAGCTGCACAGAGCAGTCACCACACCTATTGTTACAAAACCAATATTTAGCTTCGAACCACAATGCTCTTAGCCCACAAGATCGCATTAGCAATGTCTAAGTACAACTAACATGTTCGATTGCTCTGCTTAACTTGAGTCAACAGTGAGTCAAACAATAAACTTTTCCCGCAATGTTTATAAATGATAATATAGAGTCTAGGCGTGGTAAGAATAGGCTAAACCTTCCTTCAATATAGGGAATATATTGCGTAAAAGGCTTTGTAAGGTTGATTCTGCTGGCCTTTTCAAATGATATAGTCAGTAAACTAAAAGTGACAGGTTATTAGCCTGAGCCTGAATGAAATGTGAAGTCAGGATTTGGCACTCTAAAATTTAGGCCTGGGCCGAAGCTGAAACAATATTTCATACTTGATCTACTGATAGAAATATCTGAACCATATCATACTAAACCACATACTATTTTAAATGTGTAACACAGAAGGTTTCTATAGAAAGTTTCTATGACATATATAAAATCTCCACAAATTTTGTTTCCAGAAAAAATAGTTGAATTAAGAATCTCCAACTTGCTGCCGTATGGCGGAGCCCCAAAGTTCTCGATTGCATTCAGATAGTTCTATTATTTCTCTTAGCATTGCTCATTATATCTCCCCTAAGTTTCACTCGTTTGTCATTTTGAGGCAAGCAAGTGACAGAAATTAAAAACGACGTCAATCATCAAATTTATATTATTATTATATTTGATTTCTTGATTCACCACCAAAGGGGGACTCGGCATTTTGGCAGAGTGACGCATATCCACAAACTGTCACTTGACCCTGTCTCGGTTATTTAATAAATAAGTGCATATTATTATATTAAGGCAGTAAAACTAGCGGGCTGCGATAAATTGTAACTTGCTATAACATTATGTTATTAATCAATCGTTTGAAATTGGAAACCGTTCGCTAGAGCTAGTTCTAGTTCTAATTATTTAATCAACAACCGGGTCTCTCTAGGTTTCTTCTGCTTTGAAGATGCAATTCCCTGAAGCCCTTAAGTTTAATCAATCTGTCATTTTGAAAATAAATCATAGTCGGATACCTCAGACCATTCCCCGAGAAAAGAACAACTATGTACTGCATACTGCATAGACTACTAGCCTAAGTGACCAGTGGCGTAACTTAGGGCCCCGCAGACCCCGCTGTGCGGGGGAGGGGGGGGGGGGGGGGGGCGCCGTATAAGGGGGGCGCAATTTTCCTAAATTTTAGGCCGTTTCACTAAAAAAACGCCTTATTTGTGTATTTTCCTGTCCAATTTAGCGTTCGGTGGACGCGAAAAAATATTTCGGGTACCTTTTTTGCTTCAGGGGGGTGCAAAAAGCTGTAGGGGGGGGGGGGCGAGAAAAAAAGTAACCGACCTTTTTTTTGTTTTTTTTTTTGTTTTTTTTTGTTTTTAGGGAGACAAAAAATTTTAGGGGGGGGGCACTGTGCGTCACTGAGCGGGGGGGGGCGCCAACAGGCAAAGTTACGCCACTGAGCCTAACACTACACTAGTGCTATCTTATGTCCGTTTTTCACATCCAACACACTTGGAATATATTCAGTCAATTTAATCGTGAAAGCTATCAAGTAAAGCAATTATCACACTCATTACACAGTAACTCTCATAAAGTGCTGTGAAATCCTTGTTATCAGTACTGCCAGCTATCAGTAGTAAATACACGCCAGCTATCAGTAGTAAATACACGCCAGCTATCAGTAGTAAATACACGCCAGCTATCAGTAGCAAATACACGCCAGCTATCAGTAGCAAATACACGCCAGCTATCAGTAGCAAATACACGCCAGCTATCAGTAGCAAATACACGCCAGCTATCAGTAGCAAATACACGCCAGCTATCAGTAGCAAATACACGCCAGCTATCAGTAGCAAATACACGCCAGCTATCAGTAGCAAATACACGCCAGCTATCAGTAGCAAATACACGCCAGCTATCAGTAGCAAATACAAGCTAGCTATCAGTAGCAAATACACGCCAATTCTGTACACCAAGCCAGTGTCTAACAATGTGCTGATGACATGCCCAGCTAATAAAGCTTTTATAGAAACCATTGCGCCATTCTATTCTAATATCCTTTATCGGACACATAATTCTTGTAAGTGGATCCGATTCCGCTGAGCAGTGATAACCGCTAACGTTCACAATGCGAACAGAGCTTGGTGTCAAAGCAGCTCATGCCGATTTAACACCTTATACAGACTATAAATCATCAAATCATTGTACCAGCACAATTCATCGCTATCGAAGCACATCTTTCGACCACCTGCCAGCCTTGAGAAGCGGCAAAGGAATCCACAAAACCTTAAAATATACGAGCGTGCGCGCTTCGATATAAATATGGGGTATGTCGCGCGTTACGTCAAGAATGGAATGTAGACCTATCGACGCCGCAGAGGTTTAACTTCGACAGTAGTCTTTAAAGTTTTCCTAATTACAAAAACTTCCCCGCCACTTTTACCTTACACATCTCCATTTTACAGATCCAAGAAAACATACGCAGTTCACAAAGCAGAAAGACAAACAGGGCAAGCCACTTGTAAAGACCGAATATAATTTGTCTTGGACCTGTTTGCAAATGTTGCAGCGGCAGCAGAAATTAAATTTAGACTGCTTAATAGAATAATTAAGTGACATAAACGTGGTTAAAATGTTACATAGCTGCTATATATACGAAATACCTAAAATTAGGAGCATCACACAAGGTAGATAAACTATGAAATAAAATTCCTAAATACCTGCTAATTGACATTCTTTAGAGGCATACCGTATATTTAATGAAATGGTCGGGGTAAATTTACTAATTCAGCAATATCTCGCCGTTTGTCTCGTTCCACTGTTTACAAGGTGTTATTTGTGATCTCACCCATCTTACACTATGCAGATTTGTGGACGGGTAAAGCACACCATTAATAAAACACGCCGACTAACACTAGAATACATTTTGCTTAAGTCACTACAATGACTTAATGACATATTTCTATGTGACAAAATATTTGAAAAATTAATCTTATGTGTAAACGGGTGGTGGGTGAACAAATTTGAGTTCTCAGTTTAGTTGGATTGATATGTTTAAACATTCTGCAGAAAGATATCTGCAATAATCTAATGTATAATTAGCCACTGTTAATTGAGTAGAAACAATACGTTCTATTCAAAATACCTTTCCGTCTGAAACTGGTAATTCGCACAAATCAGCGTTTTATATAAAACATTTGTTTTTGCCAATATTCCGACCAGAAAGAGTAATATGCCTTTGTTTTACACGTAACAGTATCACGTGCATTCCAAGGAAACAGGCATAAGAAATATGGCATGATCACAATTAAGCTCTTATTTTACAAGAATTAACATTGACGTCGAACAGACTTCTTCAACAGTCACATAACTCAGTCGATATTACACTTAACAAATCCTAATCTGGTGTAGTCCTGGAATTTCCTTTTTTTCGTTCTTTTCCTACGATTCCCAGCCTTATATGGCGTATCTACGTTTGACACTCACACCTATCACCACATTATTGATAACGTGTAATTGTCATAATATATTGTAAAGGATAAACGTCATAAATTCAGCAACTTTGACACTAACTCACAATGAAATCACTGGTCGTTGAATAGTACATATGATACAAGTTTTCTTCTTTACACGGACAGATATTAGATGTTGTGAAATAAGTGAACAGTGGAGTGAACAATAGATTGATAATGATTAAAAAAGACAACAGATTGATATAGAGTACACACAGGGCTGTACAGGCAGACAATGGTGTTTGACACGTGAGACTTGTATGGTGATTTGTGCATGCCTTTTAGCATGTTAGTGACACTAAAACACTGATCAGTTGAAGTGAGAAGATTGGAAATTAAATTGGAAATTTCATGGATTCCGCAGAGAAGTCTATTATGTAGAGTTTGCAATTGTGTGGATTCCTGATGCAAATAGAGCAGTTTGCAGTTTGGAGAGAGTGGAATGTTATGAAAATATCAGGTGATGTGCCGTTCCTTAAATAGAGAATTGTTCTTAATTTCTGACAGGTGACAACCAGCTCAGCTCCTGGGACCTTTATAATAATAATAACTAGAAATAATATGAGATTATGATTTTTATAGAGAAAAACAGAGAAGTCACTGACAGCGAACATATTTTTTGGCCTGGTTTATTTTATGCGACTCAATTTAGGAGCCATTTCGATTTTTCTGGCACGAAATAAACGTCACCATCCCACAAATTTCCTAGTCTATAGACTTAAGAACTGCTGGGGAAGCAAACCACACGTGTAATGGCAATTTACAGCGATTAACCAATCAGACCTTACAACGCATCTAAAAAAGTGCTTTACCTTCTCCGCAAACCTCAAGCCTATTATAAAACATGATTAAATTAGTAAATTACTTAATCAATTACCTGGATTAGCTGGGTAACTGGAGATACAAGAGCGCTTGGTTCAGTGTCGCTGGTTGCGTTTAACATAAATTGTCTGTTAGTCCACAACACTAACGTACTTAGTGCTTGATGTAATTCTGTTTGGCACTTGTCCAGTTCTGACCTGAAAATAAACTTCTGTAATGTTTTGCTATAATAAAGGTAAGAATAGAAGAATAATATATCCTTATAAAAGTCAAGTAGGATAAATGGTATTATCAGCTCATAAAAAACTGGACAATGCTGGGAATATTTTACTCTCCGACTTTACTAAACGTTTGTTCTAGAAAACAACGATAGTTATTTGGCATTGTTTCATTATTAGCTACTTAGCATTTACTCAGAACATCGAATTAAAATGAGGAATGTAATATATCTTTTGTTGTATTTTAATTTCTTTTTGATGTTTTTTAGTGTGCTCCTGAGGGCTAATGCTCCAAGAAAAGAATGCAGTACTAGCGTATCATTGAAATGTACAAGAAAGGCCGAAAAGAGTGCACATTATTTATGCCCACATTAATCTATTGGAGAATATCACTGCTCGCGAGCCAGGACATATCTTAGAACTTAAAAATAACCGCCCAACTCATATGATCACAGATAAACTTTGAGTAACCCTGCCTTCTAATTTCTATAAAAATATAAAAGCGCCTGTACTTTAACAGCACAGTATAACTCTACCTGCGATGACTTAATAACGTTTGTCTCGAACGGGATCGTACCTTTTTACCTTTTTACAGCGCAAATGTAAATAACAAATAATATACACAAGTTCTATCCCAATTCATTGCGGGAGAAAAGACAGAAAATAGTTCTAACCCATTCCTAAAGATGTGACTTGTACACAAACACTCATATCCTAACTAAGTTATTATATATATCGTACAAGAATGTTCTATACACACTAAGATTTAATATAAGCAAAGTTCTCGTAATGTCTATAAATACTACCGAAACAATTCCATCTCTTTCGCACCTGCTAGGACGCTATTAGGACACTATTAGCGTCGAGAGATAGCCAGCATAATAAATTGAGGTGTGACTCCAGAATAGCTCTTAATTGGTCTACATTAAATCTGTCACCTCGATTGGTCACGTGAGGGTGTGATGTCACTGTTTCCAGGGACCACACCCACATGTTTCATTGGTATACCCCGCAAAAACTTCAATTCCCTCATTCCTAAGCGCCATTCCTAAGCTTCTGCCTTCGAATTGGATCAACGTTCACAAATCACCGACAACAGCCCTGCATATTATTGCTTTACACGACCACAGCAGGTGTGACTTATCTTCATAATATCCACAAATTGCATTTTACCTGACTAAACTTTCCACACTCAAAGCTTCGCAAAGTCTCGCTACACTCAGACGAAAGACGAAAGTCGTAACAACTAGTACCAACTTTCGACTATCCAGCAGTGTTTAGCTGCCACAACATCCCAGGAGGTGCCTCAACACCAGAACTTTAAACCCTCCTCATAGTCACGTGATAGTCACGTGATAGTCACGTGATAGTCACGTGATAGTCACGTGATAGTTACGTGATAGTTACGTGATAGTCACGTGATAGTTACGTGATAGTCACGTGATAGTCACGTGATAGTTACGTGATAGTCACGTGATAGTCACGTGATAGTCACGTGATAGTCACGTGATATATCATCTCCCCTACCAATTTAACTCCGTATACTGGACAACTCCTCTAACACCACCCCGCCTACAGTACAGTACCACATGTTGGTCGCTAAACAAAACCCTGACTTCTGCTGAGAAGTTAAACTTCCTGGTGGGAACCAGTTACCTCTAACAGTGTACTGAAATATCCCAGCCAAGAATCTGCGGTAAAGTGCCCAGAAAGATGAGATAAAGTATCGAGGAAGCAGGTTTTAACCCGGTCACTAACTCCCAGACATTTTACCAGTTCCAGGTCTCGCTTCAGAGAGAGAGAGAGAGAGAGGAAGAGAGAGAGAGAGAGAGAGAGAGAGAGAGAGAGAGAGAGAGAGAGAGAGAGATATATTCCCAGTTCCAGGTCTCGCTTCAACCCCCTCAATATACAGGGTATATAATATTAGAGACCTTCCTACAACAGCTCCTTATATACTTCCCTACACCATGGCATAGACTGGAACGGTCCTGATACTGACCATTCTTTGAGTCTACCAGGTTAATTTACACAAACACGTGACAGTGGTGGGTTTAGGAGGTGGTTTTTCGTTTTGAGGAGACGGTATTCTGGTTCTTCTTGGGAAGAGCACATCTCGGTCACACGCAACAATTCCAGTGACAAGGTGACGATATGAATTAGTGTCCGGTCTGTTGTGTACGCATACCGAAACACTGCGCCAAATAACAGCGTTATTTTCCCTTCCCATTGAGACCTCCCCTTCTGTGAGTATATGATAAGATTTACTGGCTGTCAAACATCTGATCACGTGATCACGTGATCACGTGACAGTTGCTATTTCATTAGAGAGAGTACCCTGATTTACAATCTAAATTTTAGAGAAAAGGCGGTGTAAGTTCGGGCAACGCCACTTGGGAGGGAGGTATTAGGGTTTGGGTTGTTTATTACACTCTTTATTATCGGTTGATGGCGGCTAATTAGCAAGTCACTCGAGATACCAGGTCCATGTCATTCAAGAAGGGGTCTGGGTATTTAAGAATGTGCTTTTGTTAAATCGGTTGTAAGGATGACAACAAGAGGGCCGGGAAATTCACAGTTTTATGGTAATTTTGTAATTTATTTTTTAAACACCAGAGCTAATCTGATCATTTCTAAGTCTCGTCTTTTTTACTTTAAATTTGGATTTTGGAATGCATGTTATCGTATGTGTTTTAAAACCCAATTCTTTTAGACTAGATTTAAGAAAGTTTTAGGAAGATGATGATTCAGATCTTTATTTTAGTATTAAAACAATAAAGTAATGTTTACAGTTAGAGGCTAATCACATTCCAAGATGTCAGATATCTCGAATTCTTCGCATATTTCAGTCAACTTTCACAACCAATTCTGAATAATCAGTAATTTGCTTTCCCACCATTGTTACAATTCACGAATCGTTATTCTCATCAAGGGTTGCTGTTTCAGAGAAAATCAATCTTGCAGTCTAAATACCATCTTCGGAACTTCACATTTTAAAATATATTTCTCACATACAAACCAGCGAGAGAGAGTGAGAGAGAGAGAGAGAGAGAGAGAGAGAGAGAGAGAGAGAGAGAGAGAGAGAGAGAGAGAGAGAGAGAGAGAGAGAGAGAGAGAGAGAGAGAGAGAGAGAGAGAGAGAGAGAGAGAGAGAGAGAGAGTGAGAGAGAGAGAGAGAGAGAGAGAGAGAGAGAGAGAGAGAGAGAGAGAGAGAGAGAGAGAGTGAGAGAGAGAGAGAGAGAGAGAGAGAGAGAGAGAGAGAGAGAGAGAGAGAGAGAGAGAGAGAGAGAGAGAGAGAGAGAGAGAGAGGAGAGAGAGAGAGAGTGAGAGAGAGAGAGAGAGAGAGAGAGAGAGAGAGAGAGAGAGAGAGAGATATTATTCTTATCTACTCAACCCCAGAATATGTTATGAGCCCACTAAGTCACACACTAGAACTAGGGGTGAACTGTATCAAATCTGATCTCCAGCCAAGTAATAATACCACTGTGTCCCTGCTAGCTATACTTTCCCACCTGTTTGTACTTAAATACAGATCTTTGAAAAGATCTTAAATATCAAATATCATTATGATATTTCCAGACAACACAGGCCGATTAAGTGCAAGCTGAACAGTTAAGTAACATTTAGAAGGAGCAGTGATTCTAACTGATCTCCCCCTCTCGTGCGTCTACACCATCCCTCAAATCTCTCAAATACCTATTAAGCGCTTATCATGTCCCGGCAAGTTCTCCAGAACAAAGACACCACTCAGTACACTGTAGATATACATAGAGTGAGACAACACTGTAGATATACATAAAGTGAGACAATGACGGAATGTTTCGGGACCTCCTCAACAATAACTGATAGTACAGGATAATGCATATTCAGCACCTCACCGAAAGTTAACAAAGACCGTATATCGAGTACGCTGGAGGCTGCAAACAATGATCTGCATCCTGCACAAGCCATTCATTACAATTCACAACCCTCTCTCTCTCTCTCTCTCTCTCTCTCTCTCTCTCTGCTCGGTTATTATTGGACTTCAGTGTTTCTGGCTACTTGCCAATTTAGGAGATGTTGCGTGTACAGTAGATAATAGATACAGCGCGGCGGTACAGCTATGTTAGAAACTGGTGGATCTGAATTTTGTAATTAACTGGTTCACTGTATGAATACCGATCTCTATAATTCTCCATAACAATTAACTCTTAAAGATACAAAATTAGAAGACCATGTAAAGTTGAGAAATATGGTTTACTAAAGCTGCTTAGTAAGGAAGTTTGCTGAACCTTTGTTTGAGTGGATCAATAAGGATGAAGGATCAGGTTGATCTAGAATTGCCCACAACATACCACAAACTTATATATTATTATAACTATAACCTTAACAGCGCTGAAATTCCTCTTGGCGACGTATGTTGAGACTCAATTGAGAGTCAAAAATGCTTCATTTCTAAACCGAGAAAACTACCGGATACAGGTTTCCGGATTGCCCATGGGAATGAATTCCTGAGTTCCTGGCCAGTTAGAACCAGTGCGGCAGTGCATTCAAATTGTTTCATTTCCCGGCATAACTCTTTTAGGCTGTGGCTCAAGTGGTCCTATTAATCGCTAATATGGTAATACTAATTGATACATTAAATTGTCATGAAGTTTTACGAGCAATTTATCCGTTTCCGCCGGTTCCTTTACTTCGTTAACAACAGCACTTCCTTACTCCATTTATCCTCGTGCCTTGTAAATTTGTGAAAATTTACATAACACACACGTATTTATGAGCATTATATGCATTTTATACGCCCGGAATATTTCATGAATTTAACAGTATAATATTTAGACACGCAGAGTTAACACAATAATATCTCCGACTACACTGCCGTCTACATCTCTCTCTCTCTCTCTCTCTCTCTCTCTCTCTCTCTCTCTCTCTCTCTCTCTCTCTCTCTCTCTCTCTCTCTCTCTCTCTCTCTCTCTCTCTCTCTCTCTCTCTCTCTCTCTCTCTCTCTCTCTCTCTCTCTCTCTCTCTCTCTCTCTCTCTCTCTCTCTCTCTCTCTCTCTCTCTCTCTCTCTCTCTCTCTCTCTCTCTCTCTCTCTCTCTCTCTCTCTCTCTCTCTCTCTCTCTCTCTCTCTCTCTCTCTCTCTCTCTCTCTCTCTCTCTATCTATCTCTCTCTCTCTCTCTCTCTCTCTATCTATCTCTCTCTCTCTCTCTCTCTCTCTCTCTCTCTCTCTCTCTCTCTCTCTCTCTCTCTCTCTCTCTATATCTATCTCTCTCTCTCTCTCTCTCTCTCGATCCCGGACTTGCAGACTATTCTGAGCACCACTCCTCACCTCACCCCGAGTTCAAGACGCGCTTAACCGTACTAATTATCCTGACTAATTGTACTAATTGTACTAATTGTATTAACGACCGTACTACTTTTACCGTTGCTAGTGTTACGTCATCCTGTCTATTGTTTATCTTTATTTAACTGTACTAATAATGATCGGTGTTGTAAAGAGACCAGCTTATATTATCAGTACATTTCATCACTATACTGAGATCTGCCAACTTCACCGAGCAAGGGGGTGGCTGCTAGGGGTGGGGTGGCGACTAAACAAGTTGCTTTACATTAGTAAACACGTTGCTTTACATTAGTAAACACGTTGCTTTACATTAGTAAACACGTTGCTTTACATTAGTAAACACGTTGCTTTACATTAGTAAACACGTTGCTTTACATTAGTAAACACGTTGCTTTACATTAGTAAACACGTTGCTTTACATTAGTAAACACGTTGCTTTACATTAGTAAAGACGTTGCTTTACATTAGTAAACACGTTGCTTTACATTAGTAAACACGTTGCTTTACATTAGTAAACACGTTGCTTTACATAGGTAAACACGTTGCTTTACATTAGTAAACACGTTGCTTTACATTAGTAAACACGTTGCTTACTATAAAGAGTTTACACAGCTCGTAATATACCGATCATTGTACAGTATAATATACTAACTACCGGCACATATTATATACATGGTGGCAGACTATGAGGGCCAAAACTAGCTTTACACCAGAATGACGCGAACTCCGCCCTTTCTCCGAGCTGACAGTAATTATACTTACTCTTAGTGCTGCTGTGAACTACACGGTACAGTTAGTTTTGGTCCATAAAGCTAGTCTCAACCCGGTATTAAATATAATTTACAGATGAACGGCTCTAGAACAACCACTGCCTGGAGGGATTGTCTGAAGTAATTACATGCTATCCAGATACTGAAATTGTGTGTACTTGTGTAGGTAATATCTCATTTCTCTCTCTCTCTGGCTGTATATTACCAGGTGAAACAGCCCGGAAATGTGATCTCCTGTGCAGTAGTAGCCGTCACTAAACCCAGTCTCACTAAACACTCTAACAAACTCTGTGTAGACAAGTCAATGTTCTGCCGCTCTCTTCTCTGTAGCTCAGGGTAGTACTAGTATTTCTTGTGGGAAGTGATTAGCTAAACCATATTGACGCAGCACAGGAATTTGGCGGACTAACTCAACACACTTGTGGTTAATAATAATGTGTATTCTCAACTTTATTTAGGATATATTATGTTATTTAGGATATATTATTATGTTGATTACTGGATGGTAGCCGGCTGGGGGACATGTATGACTGGCTAAATGTACGGGTATGTGACACACGCTCCTTAGAAGCAAGAGTTGCCCGGGTAAATCTACATTAACCAATACTGAGCACATCTTAATTCTGGGATTTTACTGCGTTTAATGTGTATAATAATGAGTTAGTCTGGACTGGATAGTTAAAGAAGATTGGTGCACGATTAAGCGATTAAGAAAAGAGGCTTTTATTATATTAAAATTAACTGGGTTTTATATCAGCTGCTTTCACCAGATAGTTAACTTACAGAGGCGCGCTAAACCCAACAAACTAAACCAAAAAATAACTTTTTTTAAAACATGTGCCATAATATAATGTGCCATAATATAATGTGCCATAATATAATGTGCCATAATATAATGTGCCATAATAATATGCCATAACTAAAACTCACAGAGAGGATATCCCCCTAGGAAGGGTAGCACGAAGCTGCTCCGCATTATCCATTGTATCCCTCACGCCCAGGATCACCTCGTGTACCGTCTGTAACATGGAGAGAGCGGGGGTGGGTTGGTCGGAGGTGGTCCCGCTCAGCTTGTAGCTCTCTGCTAGATCTGCGGGGGAGGGGGCTGTTAGTGGGGCGGTGGTTTTAGGGGTGGTTGGAGCGAGGAAGTCAGATCATGGAAATTATTAAATTGTATCTTCTGTTCTGTATTCTGTATTCTGTCTTTTACTTAATGTTAATGAAGATTTCAGTGAAAAATTACTGAAAATATAGACGGCGGTTTGGATTAATTTTGGAGCTAATTTTTTATGAAACCTCTATTTTTGAGGTGAAAATTGGTGAAAAATTTGAGTATGCAACTGTGGGATCAATTGAAGGGATATTTTTGAATTGTACATGATAATATCAGTTTGAAGTTCTAAAGTTCTTCCCGGTTTCAAAACAAACAAAACAGGTTATAAAAGTATAAAGGGACCAAAACTTCTGATTGATAAATTTTTCTGTCATCACAGTTTCATCGGGATCATATTCGATAACTTGTTAATATAGTAGTGTTGAAGTTTTAAAATACTTTAAGCACTAGACTGAGTTATCAAGCTGAGAGAACTAAAAATCTTCATCATTAACAAGATATTATTAAATCAGCCGTAGTTGTAATCCGAAATTTGTATCGTGTTTTAATTGCGGTCGTGCGAAGGAAGAGGTGGTTTTAGGAGATGACTATAGAACCGAAACAATACCTTTACACGTGGGCCTAGTGGGGAGAACGACGATCGCAACAGATTGGTGTTGAATTAATTAATAATTTTTCTATAACTAAGCTTATTTTGGATATCTTCGTTGAACTTCATTGTTACAATTTTGTAATACACGTTCCATCTTTCTTTAGAAAACAACACGTTTGGTTGTCCCCCGAAGATAGCATCTTGATTAGTTATCGAGGAGAGCTTTACCGTTGTAATGAGAGTAACAGTTACGGAAATGCGGTGGACATGTTGATGTCTCCGGTATGATCATTTCTTTCCAATTGATTCCTTTAGACTAAACTTGAAAAACGCGTTGATTATTAAAACGAGGCAAATACTAAAACAGCAGTTCCATCAAGTTGATCTGGAAGGTAGCCGAAGCAACAGAACTAACAGTTCCACAGCTAACAAAACGAACCCCTAACAAACTACAAAAACGACAAGGACACTGTATGATATAAAATCTCCAACACTGAATAGCATAAAAGAGCACTGTTGCAAAAGTTTACAACACATTCGATATAATAATATCTCCTACGTTCTGAATTTCCCGAATAACATAAAACGGGACAGGTTACAAAGTTACAAGGTAACATGTGTCACAAGGTAACATTATGTGTTACAAGGTAACAAGTGTGACAAGGTAACAAGTGTTACGGAGCTCAAAACCAACACGCACAAGGCTCACACAGTTAAAAGTCGGGCGTACGACAAACGTCTGTCACAAACAGAACGTCTAGAAGCTGGAGTCACTCACTCTCTCTCTCTCACTCTCTCTCTCTCTCCAACTCAACTTGTTACATATTTGATTATATTGAGAGAGATAAAGTTAAACTCCTCTCAGGTATCACCCAAATCAGCCGGTGTAATTTGACAGCGGCAGGGATCTAAAACCAGGGGGAGACTGCTAAACGCAGGGAGACTACTAAACCCGGGGGGAGAGAGAGAGGGAGAGACAGAGAGGGAGAGAGAGAGAGAGAGAGGGCTGTACATTTGCAGGATGTGTAGGCTATATATGATTTTGTAGGGATTACAAAATTGTAGTTGTAGACACGTTGAGTAGATTATGGTTGCAGGTTGGTTAGGTTTAGTCTATGACCTTTGGTTTTTGGGTCCTGACGATGTCATATAGACCGACAATGTGTCTGTTATTCTCATTGTCTTGCTCTGTATAATAATTTACATCTAGTACAGACTTGTCATGATTTAAGAAGCCCTATCTTCAGTTTTCCGGGATCTTGACTGTTTTTACACGAGTGGAGAGCTGACGTGGTAAAACCAGTCATTCACACTATACTGACTACTCATCACTCAAGATTATTAAAATAATACGCAACTTTATCAGAAAAGTAGCAAATCTGTTAAACGAACTGTAACAAACATCAACGAGTTCAACTCAACATATTATGACGGGCACTTACTACAAACATATACCATGACAGATATCATAACATATAATAATAATATCCCATCACATGATACATATCTGGTTGTGTAATAACATATTATTATATATATTCTGCCACACACTGCCAGAAATCTTACAACACAAGTTTCAGAGGAATTTCAGGGAATTAAACGAGTGGATGGGAGATAAGAGTGGAGATATGGGAAGGGAGGCCGGATGTAAGTAGGCTCTTATCCTCCAGAGTTACTACTAAAACGGTTCGTGTAATTCAGGGCTTAGTTCCCTACCTCCTACCTGAAAACTGATACTAACTGTCTATCTAATTATGTGGTTTATACGATCAGTGGTGTTTATTAATTTCTGATTAAATTGTTGATTAGTAAGCCAGCCTGATTTCTTGTTCTGTTCCGGTTGGAAATCATGAGGTCACACGTGGGTGAGTCTGGGAGAAGTAGATCTAATGAACATCGGTTCCTTTTACAATTACGTAAGTGATGAGTGGCATGTGTCACGTGGTGTGATGCATGTTGATAAGATCGAGTTAAACAGGTGTCTCTTGCTGGTGTCAGTCTAACAGAATCAGTCATTCAGTCAGCCCCACGTACTTGCGACATGTTTCCAGTCTCCAGCTCGCATTTTTTATATGTTTCCAGCCCCCCTGCTCACATTTCTGACATATTTCAGCCCAAACATCTCACTATTTCTAAGATATTTCCAGCCATTTCACCCCACCGCGCACGCCCATTGAAATTGGGGGAAAATTGTTGATTACACACCAGCACGATTGGTGATGACATAATTGTGAAATTATTAGAGTTTAATTAACCGTATCCAGACTAATTATATAATTATATAATTGAGTTATTATCTCACCTTGTTGAAGAAGGTAGGCAAGGACTTTGTATGAAGACATTTCTATTTTAGCTGACTTAAAAGGGTGAAAGCGTTAATTGAATCAATTGAATCTGACAATTTAAAAGACATTGATGGAAAATTCCGAAGGCGATTGGTCTGGGGCCTGAAAAATGATACAACAAAGTTGATCAAATATATTGATCAAATATTCTTAAACAACAAAGCAAAATGACATAAGCAGCATCAATGCAAACAAAACAACTGAGAAAAACTGCTAAAAACACTTTTACTAAGACTATTGCCGACAATAATAATGTTGTCAAGCAATTATTTAGTTGGGGTACCTAGTACGGCGAGCTGAAACTGCCAACACCCAAATTAGGGCCTCATCACAACTTTCACAAGTATTCTGGTAACCTGGTAACAGCTGTTATGGTAACTGTTCTGGTAACCTGGTAACTGTACGGTAAGGCTCTAATTTAGCAACTAATGACTAAACTAGTGCAATTTCGGGAAAATGTTTTTTAAACAAAATTGAGTATACCGGTACCGTGAAAAGTTAAATATTTGTTTTTAACAGATGAACTGGTCGGTTGATGACTCGTGTCTCCTGAAGCTTTCCAGACGGATTACCGCCAAATTTAGACCAGAGCTACTGGCACATTGGTCAGTTCTAATTGTTTGAATGCAGGGTACGGTTTGCAGTTTGAAGTTTTCGGCGCTGATTACGAAGTTTAAGTCGGTTTAGATCAGACCGTGAGTCCCCAGTTAAGTGTGTTTTATAGTTGTGATGTCGCACTGGAGGGTTCTAGAATAATTAACAGCCTTTCTGGCACGTCTTAATGAGGTGAAGGAGGTGCTAATTTGATACAATAAACTAAAAACATGCAGATGGATGGCCATGGAAGAGAACTGAGTTATTTCAAGAAGATGAAATCAAACTTCTGCAAGAATTAAACCGATGATTGAACTTATTGCAACATTTGATTTACTGAGTACTGACCCTTATAAGTCTCAGACCATCGCCCAATTTTCGAGTGTAGGAGTCAACATAACCACTAACTACAACAATGAAGATTGAAAAGCTCAATAACTCAGATCGTCTCCTTCAAATGAAGTCAGTTTATAACTTTAAAATCTTCCCACCAAGCAAGCCCTACATCATCTATATTTGACAAGCTATTTAAAATCCAGGCTTCAAATCGTTAAAACACTTGAAACTCGCCGGCTCTCTTAAATGGATCCTCTGGGAAACTTTTGAACTATTTGAAATGTCTTATTAACCTCTTCATGTTAACAGTAGAAAACTGACATTAACCATCAAGTGCCAATTACTGAGAATTACCTCTAAGCATGTTAAATACCATGTCAGAATCACTACATACTATGCGTCATATGATTTAACACTTTATACATGCTATTAATATATCGCAGCAAAAACATACGATAACATACAATAATAATCGGGAAAACTCTGCCAAGAAGTTATGCTACTTGTAGTTAAAAGTGCTGAACTTGACTATCTTTTTTTAAAGTTGATAAATACCAAGAGATTGGGGAACGAGCCAAAAGTAAGTCGGTTCTTCAAAAGTAAGATTTTTTCACTATTCCCTGTATTACATGTCTAGATTTTGTTTAAAACTGTCTAAAAATAATTTGGCCGCTTCAAATACAGGAGAGGTACTTCAGCAGAATATACGTTTACGACCATCATAGAGATTCAACACTATGAAAACTACACTAAGATCAAATACAGAGCTCAACTACAAAACTAAAAACAGGATTTTCAAAGTAAGCTGAGATTAACAAAACAGGAAGGAGGATAGAATTGCAAACATGATAGCAGACAGCAAAAAAAGTGAGGTCACGACAAAAAGTGGTTGACAACAACCACACCTCAGTACGAACAGCCACACAAACCATACAAAGACTGAGTAGAGGACAGCTTACTCGCGCAAATTTCTAATTAAAAAGTTAAAATAAATGCACTCTGTCAAAAAGTTAAAATTTCCCCAGACAGCTGTAGCGCGAGCAGCGCAAATAATATCACCGCCGGAACTATCCCCAGCTTGCATTTTCCAGATCGTGAACAGAGGTAGC